AGGGAGGAAGAGGAGTAGGGCCAGGACAAGACAGGGCAGGGCGCGAAGCGAAGTGGCATCACGCGAACGACGTGGCGCGAGCATTCGGCTAGGCCCTGGTTGAGGCTGGTCATGTTTTGGCCACTTGTCCTCGTACGTTCGGTTGGTATATCCTAATCGTGTGGCAGGAAAACAAACGGCCCTTGAAATGTAGACCTGCCCGACGCACCCTCAAAGGTAGACCCCGCCCGTCGCGCGCGGTCTACATTTCAAGGTCCTGCAGGTCGGGGTGTGCACTTCTGGGTGCTCAGGTCTCGCGAGGGTCGACGTCTGAGGGTCCGCTTGGTCGGGGTCTAGATTTGAGGCCCCTTGCGTGGGTCTACATTTTGAGGCTCCCCTCGCGGGTCTACATGTAGAGGGCCGTTAGGGTTGGAGGGAGACAGGAGGAGGGGGGAGGCACCTCCCTCGTGCCACGTCCTCCCCCCATCACCGTTCCAAGTCCCTGCACCTTCCCTTTCATCTTTCCTCCCTGCCACGCCTACAGTCAACACTGACTGTACGGATGAGCGACTTTCCAAGGCCACCTTTGTATCTTGTATCCCTTCCCTTCGGCCCATCCGTGGCCGCTTTCGCTGGCCGCGCACCGCTCGCAAAGTGACAACACGGCCTTCTAACTCCCTTGCATTATTTCATCGTGCGTTCTTCTCCTAGGGCAGACACAGAGGAGGTGTCCGCCACCGGCTAGTCGCGCTTCGGCTCGTCAGCATTTCGAGTGCAAAGGTTGTTGCCCATCGCTACGGCTTCATCGAAGGGAGTGGTGCAGTGGCTTGCTCCCGCAGAAGGGTTGCGCAGCGCGCGTGTGCATCGTTTCCATCCACGCGGAGACCCACTGCTCGCCAGATCGTGCGTGGCACAGTCTGAATAACAAGAGGCAGTGTAGGAAGATTTGGATAGTTAGCACTGGCGCGTTGTGGCACAATTTGCTCCTCTCCTGTATCCTTTTCTCTCATGCCAAGCTTGCTTTGCTCGAAATCTCCCGGGTCGCCCAGTCCACCAGCATGCAAGAAATTGAGGAGGTGCTGGTGAAGCTGGTCAGGCGCATGGGCGGTTGAAGCGGGCTGGGAACATCACATTACCAGGCCGATCACAGTGCCGTAGTTGCCCCGCTCACGTTCGTTCTGGGGCCGTTGGTTGGCTTGCCGATTTCAGCTCGATACTAGCCAGCAAGAGAAAGGATCGACGCGAACAGTTCTTGACCTTGTGTCCGAGGAGAAGACGCTGATGAGGGCAGATGCCCTTCTCTCGTGTTCGCCCTTTTGGGCCACCTGGTGGGCCATCATCGCCCTGGCTGGATTCGCTTCGGAGTGGTCGGAACGCGCCAGGGGAGAGGTTTGGGTTGCCGAGCGGTGGTATCGAATTTTCTTTGTTCCCCCGCGAGGGTTCTCCGATCCAGAGGCTCTCCTGGGAGGCGTTCGCCAAAGTTCACGCCGCCCTTTGGACCGAGTGTCGGGAGGGATGAAGAGTATCATGCCACTCATGTCGTCTCTGAAACTCTGCGTGTTGTTCCTTCGCTCTGCGTGAGGAAGCCAAGTACTTCTTCAATAGCAGCGCGCCGATGGCATCGATGTAGTTGTTTGCCGGGCGTTGCGAAACGAGGGGCGACATGAATGGGGAGATGAAGACAGGTGCACTTTTCGTGTGCACCTTCGGGGCCCTAAAAGGGGCCCCCTTGTCGGCCATATAGAGAGGTGCACGAGAGGTGCACGTCTCTCCGCCCCCCGCGTGTCGCCCCTCATCCAGCAGCGCCCACACTTGCTCGCCGAGCACGCCCCCACCCTGGGGCAGCCCTGAAGTCGATGCCGATTAGCAGGTTGACCCTGCGAAGTCAAGAGTGCCCTCCTGCCCACTGTTTCGCGACCCACGCCTTCTACATTCCTATTGCAGCGTGGCCCCTGGAAGGGTCTTGTGCCCTCTCGCGTGCCCTTCCCAGTCAACCTCGATTGTATTATAATGGGGCTGCTGCCTGTCAGGTTTGCGCGTCCTCGCCCCTGATGTGCGACCGACTTCTGTGCACCGCACCGCGCCGCGCGGGAGCCTTCCAGGGCGCCGTCCATCCTTGACCCAGGCACGGTACGGCGCGTGTGTAGCGCAGCGGCCCTCGGAGCAGAAGAACTCTGCGCAATGCCGCGTGGGAAGGGGGCCCGAAGGGAGTCCATCAGGAGGGAAAAAAACACACAGACACAATTAATTGTCGATTATCAAGAAGATATGGAAAATATGGGAGGTGGGGGGGAATACAGAAAACCAGAATATATTGGAAAATATGGAGAATCCTGTTATTTGTGTGTATTAACGTGTGTGTCCCAGGGCCCCTTCAGTCCAAGCAAGCTGCGGTGCAGGGGCGCCGTTCTCGTCTCTGTCACGGTCTCGAGTGTGTCGGAGCCAATTCTCGACGCGTCGCGTATCCCCACCAGCCCGTTTGTCGCTCTGTTGATTTTCCCGCGTCCTCTTGCCTTTTCCGCCTCGGCCTCTTGCATGCGCACTCTGGCAGTATTGTGCCCCAGTGTTCTGTTGTTAATGAGTCTGTGGCGCGTACCCGCTTCGACTTGACACGCCGCCGGCGCTTCCGCCCGCGGCCGTTGACTAAACAAAGTATCCCCACCAGCCCGTCCAGAAACTATTGCCATGGGAGTTGCTTGATCAGGGACGCGTGGAAGCGCGCAGTTGCACAGCCGCCATGGAAAGAAGGGCCGGAGGGGGCGCAGAAAACAGCGGGAGCATGTGTCTAGCGATTCAATACAAGTCCCCATGCCACGGCGGCTGCGTTGATGTCCACGCGCTTTGTTTTGCGAGCCTTCTAGAAACTTCCTGGGACCATCTGCGGGGTAGTGGGGAGGAGGAGGAGGAGGAGGAGGAGGAGGAGGAGGAGGGACACAGGAAGAGGAGGAGTATGAGGAGGAATGCGGCACGAGCTTCATGCTTTCGACGGGGGGGCCTGAATTTCGTACCTCCTTTTTTCTGAACAGAACAGTGGAGGCTCGAGGCTCCGTAACTAGCAAGTGAGGGCCCCCCTCTTTGCAGGGTCCCCGCAGGGCCTTCGCAAGGGGGGGGCGACCTGCAAAGCTTCCGCGGAGAGACCCTGAGCACTGGAGGCCCCTTGGGGCGATCTTGGGCCCGGTGGCTTTAAAAAAGGGGAGGGTACCCATCGGTCGTTGACAGGAGGTTTTTTGGGACTCCCATATTCCAGTCTGCTTTGACGTGCACGTGTTTTTTTGTTTCTCTCTCTCTCTCTCTCTCTCCCTCTTCAAGCTCAGTCACCAGATCTGAGCCTATAGCGCCTCTCCCTCCGCGTGATTGATTGTGGAGGGAGATGCCGCCGACGCAAGCACTGTCGGCGCCTCTAGCGCCGCCCCTGGCGCGCTCCGCTCGCCAGGGAGTATCCGGCGCCGAGCAAAAAACAATCCGCCTGGCCTGGCCTGGATTCGGGAAGGTTTTTGCCTTTGTCAGCCCCCCCGGACGGTTGAAGGAAACATTTTGCATCAACACTGCTCCGACGACAAGGAACTGAATCCCCCCCCTCCACTTCCTGGCCTTGATATCGGAATGCATTGCAATCGATATCTGGGGTTCTGATGTTTTCCGGCCGCTCATCTCCGGGACCAGCTGCTCAATAGCAAGGCCGGGGGCGGCGGGGTGTGTGCTCGAAGTGGTCCCCCCATTCTTGATGCAACAATTGTTGTTCCTCCAACGGTCCGCCCCTCGGGCCGACCTTCTGGGCTCCCAGCCTGCTCAGGCCCCCACCCCCTGGCCGCCTCCAGGCTGCGGCCACGGCCGCGGCCCGCGCCACCGATGGCGGGAACCCTGGGGTTGCACCTTCGGGCGGCCTCGCCTGTCCAGAGGACTGGTGGCTGTGCTTCGTGCCCGACGCGAGGTCGACGCAGCGTCGATGCGCATTTGGAGTCGACTCGACGCGGATTCGAAGCGGACTCGGCGAATTCGGCATGGATCCGACATGCAACAAAAAACCAACGGCGGAAGCCGTTGAGCCGGGGCCGTCCGTTCAGCTCAAGGAGGCCGCATCCATGTTTCGCTTTGCACGTCCCAGTCCAACGGGCTGCAGACGTAATACAAGGTCTGCCGCCGACGGGCGATCGAAGATCAAGGACTACAGGCGCCTCCAGGACGATTTGTGGTACTTTTGGGCGGTCTGGCAGTTGGGGGTAGAGAGTCGTTGGAATACTTTGTCGAGATGCACTGGTCCTGGTGCGCCCTCCCCCAGCGAGGCTCTTGGCCAACGTCGCGATCAGCAAGTCCGCCGGCGCCACGCTCGCAGCCTCGAGGCTCCACCAGAGTCGTTCAGGGGAGTACTATTGGAAGCGAGTGGGGCGAGGGAGAGGACGAACTGGTGGAGGCTGACGGCCAGGGGGAAGGACGAGGAGCACGAGGAGGCAATCGGGAGGGAGGGAGAGGGGCACCGGCTGGTTGTGTTGGAGCACGTGCACGCATGTCCGCGCCTGTGGGTCCGCCCCCCCCTCTCCCTGGAAGGGGTAGCGATCGCACGGGGGGTGTCCGCCCCCCCCCCGTGTCCCTGCGCTCACAGGCATGTGTTGGGGTTCGCCTGGCCCTGCTCTGAGCGGGCCCGGCTCCTCCCTTCCCCCCCCGCCGTCGCCAGGCGCCTTCTCCTCCTCCTCCTCCACCTCCTCCTCCTCCTCCTCCTCCTCCTCCTCCTCCTCCTCCTCCTCCTCCTCCTCCTCCCTCCTCCTCCTCCTCCTCCTCCTCCTCCTCCTCCTCCTCCTCCTCCTCCTCCTCCTCCTCCCTCCTCCTCCCCTCCCTCCTCCCTCCTCCCTCCTCCCTCCTCCCTCCTCCCTCCTCCCTCCTCCCTTCCCTCCTCCTCCTCCCTCCTCCTCCTCCCTCCTCCTCCTCCTCCTCCTCCTCCTCCTCCTCTCTCCTCCTCCTCCTCCGCCCTCCTCCGCCTCCTCCTCCTCCTCCTCCTCCTCTTCCTCCTGCATGGTGTTCTAATTCGCACTCCTTGCTCCCCACCGACGCCTCACTCGCCAGCGCAGTGACTCTGCCTAGCCGCCCGACGCAAAATATGTGGTGACGCTCGCACGTTGCGGTTGTGGTCACGCGCATCCTGCGGTGCTTACGGGCCTGCCCTTGGTGCTCGCAGGCCACCGCGGTGCTCCTCCCAGCAGCCGGCATGGGGGGGCGCTCGCGAGCACACCTCCTACGTTGCTCACAGGCCTGCTGTGGCGTTCGCGGGCTGCTGTGATGATGATCGCAGGCCGAGCGCGCGCGCGCTCGTATTCAAGTTTTGGCGAGCCCCTGTATCAGGGCTCGTTTCGATTCCTCGGGTTCGATTCGATTCGATCTTGATCGATGCCGATTCCGATTCGACTCGACTCGGGATTCCGATTCGGGCTCTGATTTCTCAACGGAGGCCTACTTAGTAGGCCTCCGTTGAGAAATCACAGAACTTGGCATTAGTTCTGCAGGCAGCTGGTTAATGTTTATATTTCTGAGCATTTCCGAGTATTGTTCAACACGCTCTTTCGACATCACGAAAAGTATGTTTTGAGTATTTGTTTTTATTTTTCACTCCAAAGCTGTCTGTAGGAGGACATGCCCGACTTGAGCCTACTAGCCTGCCGATTTCTGCCGACTCGACGTCTCCCGACTCGGCTGCCGATTTCCGCCGATCCGATTCTGTTCGATTGCCGATCCGACTTATCGTTTCGATTTTGGGCCATCCTGCCCTTTATCCTGTTTGTAGTGCTGCACGTACCAAGGCGCAGCGCTCCTCAAAGGCCTTGCTCGCACGTGGTGCTCGGCGGCAGCGTGTCCTGCGAGCCGTAGGCGGTGCGGCACCGGCCGCGACGCCCGCGGCTCGTGTGGTGTGCTCACGGGCGATGCCGCGCGCGCAGCTACGGAGGCGTCGTCGTGCGCACCTCTGTGCGCTCGCTCTGGGCCCTGCCCTCTGGAGCACTTCTGTGGGCCCCGGGGTGGTGTCGGAAGTCCCAGAGCGGTGCGGTGACCACATCGGTCGGGTGGGTCAGGGGGGAGTCGGGGTGGCCGGCTTCGGGACTTGGCTCCCTCTCCGGGCACGCCCCAGGGTGCCGAGACCGTGCGGTGACGGAGCGTGCGGAGAGGTCGTTGGCGAACTTCGAGGTCGGCATGGCTCCTGCGCCGCCCCGGGAACCGAACATGGTGGCGTGCTCGCGCGGCAGCGTTCGCCGCCCGAGGTGCTGGCAGGCCTCCTCCTGCTGCCGTGCATCCCTGTGCGCTCGTGAGCTGCGGCGGTGGCGCGGTGCGGCCTCCGTCGTCGCCCGCAGGTCGCAGGCGCGGTGCTCACGGGCTGCTGCGGCGCGCCCGTGCGTGTTGCGGTGCACGCGGGCCGCGCCGGGGAGGCCAGCCCGCTGGCCCTGAGGGCTTCGCCGCTGCCTGCTCCGCAGCGCGCGCGGGCCTCCAGCGTCGGTCGAGGCAAGAGGCAGGCTGACCAGGGCCAAGATGACGTGGGATCTCGTCGACGCCGAGCTTGGCCATGGTCAGGCCGGCCGTCGCCGATGCGCGAGGATGATCCACGAATTTACGGCGTTCAAGATGGACGGTGACAAGGATCGGCACCGACGTTTCCGCTCTCAGTCTTGATCATGGTCACCGATTCCTTTCCCTCTATCACCGAGCGCGTTCCACTCTTCGCAGAGTGCCTACTCGCAAGCGTCAGAAACAAACAACAACTCTGTATATATGTCATGCATCGTGAGTCCCCTATGGCGGATCCAGGCCACTTGCGAGTAGCTACTCTACGAGTAGTGGAACGCGCTCGTCCTCTCGGAGGAGAAGGAGGAGTGGGGAGGAGGAGGAGGAGGAGCAGGAGGAGGAGGACTAGGAGGAGGAGGAGTGAAGACGAGGAGGAGTGAGGACGAGGACGAGGGCGAGGACGAGGACGAGGACGAAGATGGCGGGGCGCAGGCCGCGTGGTGTGCGCGGGCCGCGCCGTGCGCGCCGGCCCGCTGCCCCCTTTGGCAGTCCCCGCGGCCCGTCTCCTCCGCAGCGCGTGGCGGCCCTCGGGCATTGTCGGGCGCCCGCGCGGGCCTCGCCCGCACACGGGGGCGGGTCGCCCCCGGGTGCGCGCGGGCCTCGGCTGCGCTTGCCGGAGGGCGCCGACGACGACGGCGACGACGACGGCGCCTCTTCGTCCTGGCGACAAGGATGACGACGACGACGATGACGGAGACGGCGGCGGCGACGACGAAAACGGCGAGAGACGGCGACGGGCGACGGCCCGGGGTGTGCGTGGCCCTTCACGCTTTGACGCGGATCCAAGCTTGCATGGGCGCCACTAACCCGCCCGTTACGGTGAATTACCCCCCTCCCGCCCACCCATTGTCGCGGCAGTCACGAGGGGGGAATCAAACAACGCCCTCCACGCCGTGTTGGTTCGGGATCACGTCTGGCGAGCCCGCCGTGAATGCAGAGGCGCTTGCCTGACATGGAGGTTGTTGCCGGGCCGCCCCAATTTGTTCTCTCCATCGTGTTAGTGAGCCCCAGGAATCGGAGATTGCCACACGAGTTTGTTGCGCATGAACGGTTTCGCGCGTGCGGTTTCGCTCGAACATCTCAACTGTGGAAAGAGAATGGGCACCAGCGCTTTGGCCCCTCCGCACCGAACGGGCTTTCGTGATCCTGGCTTCACTGCTGTAGCTCCCGAACATATACGTACAGTCGAACACAGATCTGCTGGAACACGTGCCGCTCGAGGCGATGCAGCAGCATGGACCTCAGGGGGCCACCTCTCCTTGTGCTGCCGCCGGCGGGGTCTGCCCTTGCCTCCGCCCTCCGCAGCGCCGTGGTGGAGCCCCTCCTGGACATGCTGGGCGCGAAGCGCATCGGCGACAGCGAGGAGGGAGGGCGCCGGTAGAGTTGAGTCGGGCTTGTCCCTCTACAGGGGGGATATTCAAAAATAGTCAACAAATAGTCTGGGGACGATTTCCTGACTATGTTTGACAATTTTGGAGTAGTTTTGGGGTATGTTTTATCTTTCATCCCAAATCCCCCTGCAGGGGGACAGGCCCGACCTAACAGTCGAGATGGAGGTCAGGGAGAGTGGTCGGCGAGCACCAATTTGGGAACGGGAGATGCCCACGTAGGCATAGACTGGGCCCTCCAGGCGGCGCTGGACCCTCCAGGCGGCGCCTCCAGCGCCGTCCCTGGCACGCTCCGCCCGCCAGGGAGGGGGGTCCAGCGCCGATCCAGGGTCGGAGATGGCCAGGACCCCAGGTGAGGGGACCCAGTTAGTTGTAGGGCCCCGGAGCTTTTGAATTGGTCAGAATCACTAAACCAGGTTTGCCATAGCTGGTGTTTTTTCGGGTGACGGCAGTTCCGGTTAGTGGAAATGGGACAGGGGGGGCGCCCCCCGTACAGATCACTAAACCAGGTTCCACTAAACCCAGTTCTGCCAACGCCCGACAGGGAATCGTTTGCCGGCCTGTCTTCCAGAAGTCCGACCTGCAGGGGCAGGGTTGATCGCACGGGGCCAGGACAAGGATACTCAGGAGGGAAAAAACACACAGACACAATTAATTGTCGATCCCCCAGAAAGTATGGGAAAATATGGGACGAGGGGGGAAAGACAAAAACGCAGAAAATATGTGAAAATATGCGGAGTATTTTTATTTGTGTGTACTTATTTGTGTGTCCCAGGGCCCCTTCAGATACATCCGCCGTTCCAGAGCGGTCTGGGACGCTCTCAGAGCGCGCTGGAGCGCTCTGAGAAGGCCGCGGCGCCCGAGACATCCTCCAGAGCCGCCGGATCTCAGAGATTTTCTCGATTCATCCTCACCCGATTCTGGCTTCGTCCTGGTTTCGTCTCAGTTGAGGTGTGGTTCTTAAAAATACTGGTGCGGACGTGACCTTTCGGAGTTCCGCGTTGTGGACCCTTCCCTGGCGCGCGCATCTTCGTCCAGGAGAGGCGCTGGAGACGCCGCAGTGCAGCGTCACTTCAGCATCTGTCGGCGCAGACCTCCGTAGGATGATGTGTACCCAGACCCCCTCGAGTCATGGAAAAATCCCGTTGAATCCGCTTTAATCCCATTCAATTCGGTTTGATCTTGGGCTGAATCTGGCCTGATCCGATTCCATGGATCTGCAATCGGACTCAATCATCTTCATTCGTTATCACGAAGACCTCCCAAGAGTTGCCTTCTGATTGATGGCGTCGTTCCAGGGACTCCGCGCGGACCTCCGAGAGCGCACGTAGCTGTCTGTGCTTCGGCTTGTGGCGGCTCGCTGCTTCTGGCCTCGCAGGGCAGGACCCCTCATGGGGGCCGTCAGCGGTCGCGGCTCCGGGTGAGGTTCAGGGCTCCGGGGAAGAGGAACGGGGACCGTGTCGCATGATTGTGTCGATGTCGATCTTAGTCGTAGCGGCTCGAGGCGAGCGGCTCCACAACTCCATCTTCACGGTGCGTCAGCGTCAGTGAGCATCTTGTAATCGATGAAATAGCGCCGACTCAGCGTCGATTCATCGTCGATAAGCGTCGGCTAGCGTCGATCAGCGCCGACTAGCGTCGATTAGCGTCGGTCCGCAAGAGCCAACAGGATGGTATGAGAGGCTCTCATGCCACCGAAGATTCGCCCAGGGGGGGGAAGCAGGGCCCCTGGTTTTGTATGCTCGTTTCGGGGACCTTTCTTGGGCCGACCAAGCGGATCTATGCGACTCTATTCCAGCTCGAGCTCGACTCACGCCGACGGAGTTTCGACGCAGCATAGACGCATGAGTTGAGCGGGTGGATCTCTCAAGGTCCCCAGACCAAGCATCGGTCGCCCACACGTCGCCAACCGGGGCCTGGGCCCCCTCCCTCCGCCCAGGAGCGCGCGGCGTCGCCAGCGAGGGCCCGTGGCCCACCCCTCGGCGATGCACTGCCGGATTCCACGTCGAAGTTTCCCGACCAGAGTGAAGTACGCCCTCCCATTTCGTTTCCCCTCCATCCTAGGTAGGCTCCTCCTCCTCCTCCTCCTCCTCCTCCTCCTCCTCCTGAGCCCCCAGCTCTCCGAGGCCTGTCTTCCCTCGCCCCCCCCCCCGGCTCTGGGCTCAAGGCAGCAGGCATCGGCGACGCGCCGCAGGGCAGGGGGCGGAGCTCGGGGGGTGGGCGGCCTTCTGAGCGGGTGGCCTTTCGGGAGGCTTCCTGGGAGGCTTCTCCAGAAGTTTCAGGAGGCCTTCTAAGAAACCTCGGGGGCGGACAGAATCCCCAACAGTGACACGTCGATTAGTGAATTGTCCGTTTTCGGTTCTCGAGAGGGCGCCGCGGCCGTTATTTTCCAGGCTTGCGCCCGCCAGATTTGGGCCTCAGGTCGTTTCCACTAAACCACGTTTTACTAAAGGGAGGTCTGTCCATCCCCGAAAACCGCGCGTCTTCTTTGGTAGCGCAGCGGCAAGGAGCTCGTTCTCAACGTGGTGGCGGCGATCACGAACCTCTCGTACTACGACGTTCCCTCCAACTTGTTGTTCCAGGATGCCCTGCCCGCCTCGCGTTCCCCGGCCGAAAGGGTGGGAGGTCGGCAAGAGCGACAGGGAGGGCCAAAGCGAGGAGGACACGCAGCGGCTGAATTGTGTGTGTGAGTGTGTGTGTTCTGGCGGCGGAATCTATGCATCTCCGCTGCTCCCTGGCCAGGCCCGTCGTGAACCCAGGAGCAGTGTATACGCCCTCCTGGCTTGGCCAGGAGGGCGTGGCGTATGCACAGTTCCTGAGTTCAGGATGGGCCTGGCCAGTGAGCAGTTGGTATGTATAGATTTCGTCGCCCTGTGTGTATGCGTGTGTGTGTGTGTGTGTCAGAGTGTGCGCGCCACTCCTTCCTCCACGAGCTCGGGGCTGTGCTTCGTTCAAGCAGACATGTCATCCGCGCTGGATTCCGCCCGCCCTCTCTCTCGCGGAACTCTTAGGGTGCATGGTTTGCGCTTCCACGCGATTTGATGTTGGTCTCGTTTCGATCGGTTCTCGAGTACTATCCAACCGTTGATGTTGGAACACGTGACGGAGAGGCTTCAGCGGCGCAAATGGCACAGGATGACAACAAGCAGCTTTTGTGCAGGCTGTTCAGACCACTGTTGCTGGAGTCGTACAACGACGAGGCTTGCCACGGGACAGTCGAGGGATAATGGGAAGTATTCGAGATTGTGGAAGGAAAGGATGTCGAAAAGACGAGCATGTAGCATTCATGTCAGCGTACCGTAGCGTTTGCCGGCGTGTGCGCTTGTCCCCATGGAGCTCAGGAGTGTCAGGGGGCGGAGCGGCAGGTGGGGCAGATTTCCCAGCTGAGGACTCGTGGTCGCAATCCCCGCCCCAGCCCTCCCCCCCTCCTCCGCGTCGCCCTTCCGTCAATCCGCGCGTCACCTCCCCCTTCCGCCGAGAGAGAGAGAGGGAGTTGGCGGAGGACGAGGCGGGCGGGGGGACCTCGGCGAGTGGCGCAGGTCCTGCGCCCCCGCCGCCTGCCAGACGCGGCTCGGGACGCAGGTTCGAGGGCGCGGCAGAGCGGAGGAGGGCCAGCTCCTCCTGGCCGTCTTCGGGACCCCACCTGGTGTGCTTTGGGGCCGTCTTGGGGCCGTCTTGGGGCCCTCCTGGGGCCCTCTTGGGGCGGTTTTGGGGCCGCCTTGAGCCTCCGGAAGCCCGAACAAGGCGAAGATGAGTGGAGACCGTGTGAAGCTGGAAGATTCAGGCTTCCTGGAGGTTCTCTTGAAGCACCTTGGAGCGTCTTGGGGACCTTGGGCTGTCTTCAGGGCGGATTGGGTCTACATTACAGCCGTCTTGGAAGAGTCTTCGGGTCATCTTCAGCTATCTCGGGGCCAGGTTGTTTCGGTTGAAATTCTGGGCCATCTTGGAAGCCATTGGGCGTCTTGGAGGCATCTTTGGAGGTCTTGGGGCCCTCCTGGGGCCGTCTTGGGGGCCTCTTGGGCCGTTCTATGGCCCTCCTGAAGGCATCTTGCGGCCATCTTTCGGGGCTCTTGGGCCGTCTCGGGCCGTCGGAAGGCCGAAAAGAAGCAAGTTCCCAAATCCGTCAAAAACCTAGGGCCAATCAATGATGTTGGCCTCTTCGGGCATTCCTGAAGGTGCTCTTGGAGGCCTCTTGGGCCGTCTTGGAGGCCTCTTGGGGGGCATCGGCAGCCGTCTTGGGCCATCATGAGCCTATAGGCCGTCTTGGGTGCATCTTGGGCCTTCTTCGAGGCATCTTGGGGCCATCTTAGCCGTGTTGGAGGCCATCTTGGCCATATTGGAGGCATTTTGGAAGCAATCTTGGACCATCTTGGCAGTCTTGGAGGCCATCTTAGGCCGTCTTGGAAAATTTGTTGGGGACGTTGTGCGCGATTGCTCGACTTTCCGGGTTGGCTGGCGCGATGGGCCGGAGCCCCAGGGTAGACTTCTTTTGGAAACAAGAATCAAAACCAAAACCGGTAGGATTTCGCACGCCAGGCACCCCTGAGGTAAGACCACAGGGGGCGTCAGATCTAGTGGTGTTCGGCCCAGCCCGCCACCGTGCTTGGGTTGTGAACCAAGGGCCTCTCAGATGTCTCCTGGGGTAACTCTTTGGAGGCTTCGTGGAGGCGCGTTTGGTGCCTCTTGGGTGTCTCATCGGGGCCTCGTTGGTGCCTCTTCGGGCCTCTTCTGAGCCTTTGCGACTTTTGGGGGGCCTCCTGGCGGTCTCGGAGGGCGTCTTGGGGTGGAGGGCTCGAAATGTCAGCTTGTACCTCCTTGCCCGAGGGCTCGGAAGCAGTCCTGCGGCGATGCTGGATGCTTGATAGGACGCCTTGAGCGCACTTCAGACAGAAGGGGTGAGACAGCTAAGCTTATTGCCAGCATCATGTACGCTAGGACTGTTTTTGGGTGTCTTGAGGCAGCTCGCGGAGCCTCCGAGGCGGCCCAGGAGGCGCCCAAGAGGGTTCCGCGACGGCCCCTGGGACCACCTTCTGCCATGTGGGTTATACTGCAAGCCTGGAATCCCACACACGCTCCGCAGGCCTCCTGAAACAAAGAACGCGCGGGCCCGGCCCAGGAGCGCCCATGCGCGCCTGGCGCTGTTTCTGCCGTGCTCCTCTCGAGAGCATTCTGACAGCACCCAGTGAACACAGAGACGTCGACGAGACCTGAGGACACTCCACGCTGCCTGCGGCACGGGGGGGTCTACATCTGTTACACATCCACCGCCTGGGGACCCGATCTCCCAGGACCCCAGGATGCGGTAGATGGATGGTCTCTCTAGGCTTCCGAAATGGGGTCCGAGTGAATGAGGCCGGACCCCATCTGGGAGGCCTCTAATCTAAGTTCGGGGGCTTTGGGGGGGGGCCGAATGCATCCATGTGCACCGCCTCCTGCGGTGTTGGGATACCGCTTCCCCAGTTGGTAGATATACATGGGTTCCTTACGTTGCATCTTCGGGGGTCCCCCCTTTATCTTCAAAAGGCAGGACGCTCATGAGGTCTCGACGCGAGCCCGACGTGGATGCGACACGGACTCGACGCGGATTTGTAGGCGGCGTCGACGCGGATCCGACACGGATAGTCGGTGTGATGGGACAGGACGGGCGAGGTGCCCCGAGGATTCAGCAGAGCAGTTTGGTGCCGTTTCCCTGCCCAGGCGCTGATAGAGACGGCCAGAGCGCTCGGCAACCTCTCGCGCCACGAGGGCGTCGGGCAGTGCATGGCAGGCGGGCCCGCCCGCTCGCTCCATGCGCACGGCGAGAGAGAGAGAGAGAGAGAGAGGCCCACCGCCACCGCCGCGGAGCTCCGAGTGCGCCGCCGGCGTGCTGCTCCCTCCCCCTCCGTCGCCTTGGTGTGCATGTTTTCCTCGGCGAGGACCACTGAGAAGCAGCCTGGACCATCTGGCGAAACTGTACGCGCACGAGGTCGACACACACACACACACACACACACACGCACGCACGCACGCCCGCCCGCCCACGCACGCACGCACACGCACACGCACACGCACACGCACACGCACACGCACACGCACACGCACACGCACACGCACACGCACACGCACACGCACACGCACACGCACACGCACACGCACACGCACACGCACACGCACACGCACACGCACACGCACACGCACACGCACACGCACACGCACACGCACACGCACACGCACACGCACACGCACACGCACACACGCACACACACGCACGCACGCACGCACGCACGCACGCACGCACGCACGCACGCACGCACGCACGCACGCACGCACGCACGCACGCACGCACGCACGCACGCACGCACGCGCACGCACGCACGCACGCACGCACGCACGCACGCACACGCACACGCACGCACACGCACACGCACGCACGCGCACGCGCACGCGCACGTGCACGCACGCGCACGCGCTCGCGCACGCGCACGCGCACGCACACGCACAGCACGCGCACGCGCGCACGCACGCACACGCACACGCACACGCACACGCACACGCACACGCGCACGCGCACGCGCACGCACACGCGCACGCGCACGCGCACGCGCATGCACACGCACACGCACACGCACACGCACACGCACACGCACACGCACACGCACACGCACACCCACACACACACACACACACACGGGAAAGGAACCCCCGAGCGACGTCGAGTTCTTCCGTCCTCCCCGCCCCTCCCCTCCCCTCCCCTCCTTGCCTCCCGCCCGCCTTCGCCCCCCTCCCTCCTCCCTCGTGTTCCTCCCCCGCTTCCTCGAAGGAGTTGGCTGCTCTTGCTCCTCGTCATCCTCTTCGTCCTCTTCCTCGGGTTCCTCGTCCTCCCCCTCGGGCTCCTCCCCCGCTCCCTCCCTCCTCCCTCGTGCTCCTCCCCCTCTACAATTACTCAATATGAATACTACTCTCCCTCTTCCCCTGATGACGTGCTGGGAGTGTTCGCCCCCCCCCCCCGCGTCCTGTTTTTTTACACAGGATTCCCGGGAGTTGGGTTTTCGCCTGCATTTTTTTCAAAATGCTGCTCTCGCTGAGGCGCCGGCCTCATTTTCGGGCCCCGCTCGTTCCGAATCGTGCTCCCGCTGCAGCGTGGGTCTCATTTTCGGATCGGTGTTTTGCCTCCGTCGTTCAGGATGGCGTTCTCGCCCCAGCGCGGGCCTCTTTCTCGCGCGCCCATCCGCCCGCCACCACCGCACCGCGCCCCGCCCCGCCCACCGCCACTTCAACCCACCAACGCACGCACGCACGCACGCACGCACGCCACCACGCGCACACGCACACACACCACCACCAGCACACCACACACCACACGCACATCGCGCACACGCGCACACGCGCACACGCGCACACTCGCACACGCACACACACACACACCACCACCACCACCACCGCCACACGCACGCACACCACGTCACACCACAGCACACACACGCACACACGCACACACACATACCACCACACCACCACCACCACCACCACCACCACCACCACCACCACCACCACCACCACCACCACAACCACAACCACAACCACAACCACAACCACAACCACAACCACAACCACAACCACAACCACAACCACAACCACAACCACACACACACGCACGCACGCGCACCACCACCCACTACGCACGCGCGCGCGGAGCCACAGGTCCGCTACGACACGCGTCCGCGGATAGAGAAAATCAGCGCCATGGTAAGGGATGGGAGGGAGGGGTAGGACGTCAGATATGACGCGAGCGCACATAGCTTGTCCCCGCCCCTCCCTTCCTCCCCTCCCCCCCGCCCCCCCTCCTCCTCGAAGGGGTCTCGGCAGCCCCTGCTCCCTGCGCGAGCCTGCCGCCGACGACGAGAGCTTGGGTCGAGGGCTCCCACCCTTGCGGCAGGGGGCCCGTCGCCGCAGATGTCCACAGTGCGCCGACGGCAGGGCCAGGCACGAGAATCTGTTCAACCTGCCCCTCGCTCCTGCCCCTCCGCTCCAGCGGAGGCCCTGCTCCCGCAGTCTGCTTCGCCTCCTCCTTCTTCTTTTCGTTCGTCTCCTCCTCCTGTGCGTCATCCTCGTCATGTTTCTTCTCCTCCTCCTCCTCCTCGTCCTTTTCCTTCGCTTCCTCTTCCTGCTCCTCCTTCCCCCTTTCCTCATCGCCACCCCGCTGGTTTTCCTCGTGAACCTGCCCTGCCTCCTGGCGGGGTCAAGTCGATTTTCTTCGGCGACCTCGCCGCCTCTGCCAGCATGCGCGCGTTCCCCGATGGCCAGATCGCGAAGCCGTTGGGGCAACCCCGTGTGCCAGATTGTTGGGAGAACCCCGCGGGCCGCTGGGGCGCAGGAGCAAGCCGTCGGGACAACCCCGCAGGTCTCGAGCTGGGCGCCGCCGCGTTCAGGCGGGAAGCAACGCGATGCCTAGCTCTGCCGCGAGCTGCTCCGCTTCAGCCCTGGGGCTCGCAGCCCTCTTGTCAATCGCCCCGAGCGCCTTCCGCAGGGGCGCTGGCCGACCGCCAGAAACTGTCGCGAGGGCGGCCGCCGGACCAGCACGTTCCGCATGCACGTGGTGAGGGGGAGCAAGACGCAAAAGCGCAGGCACCGTTGCTCGTCCGACACGCCCGTACGGCCAGCGTCCTCATCCTTGGCTCAGTCGTTGTTGGCGCCCTTGCGCCGCGTCTGGCTTTACGACAGCGTAGAGGTGAGGTGCGGCGCGTGCGTCGGGGCGAGCCCCGAGCGGCGCACGACGTGAGGCCCCGAACTTTGCCAGCGGAGCTCTTGCTCGCGGGCCTGAACATCGGCAAGTTTCTCGCCCGCGCCGCATATTCGCCGTCGTCGTCAGCGCCTTCGGGACCGTGTAGCACCAACTCGGCGACGTCCTGGTAAATCTGGAACTTCTCAAAGCCGTGCACCTTCAGCCATGTTCCCTGCGGTAGGACACGGGGGAGAAAGAGCCAGTCTTGCGCGACGAAAGTCTTCGTATTCCCATGTGGTGGAACTCGACGGACATGATGGTGGCCCGTCATTCGCGCATGAGCCCCAAGTTCTTCTTCAGCTCTTCTGCGCGACCGTGAACTGATCGTTCATGCCGAAGTGTTTTGGCAACGCGCCATGGATGTCCCCCGTTCTGTGCTGTTCGTGACGTTCAGGAGGCGCCGGTCCGTTTCGGGGTCGCCGTGGAAGGGCGGCACGCCCGCCCATGGCGTGCAGGAAAACCAGAAGCACGCTCAGGCGCCGCGCGTCGCGACGAGCGCGCCCCCGCTCGTGACAGCCTCACGATTTATCCTTGTTTTGGGGTGCTCAAGGGCTCTCTGCTTGGTGGAGATGACGACGGCCCGCCCCCGAACTGCCAGCATGAAGTGCGGGCCCCGCGCCCGCCTCTGCGAGAGCAAGTCGCAAGTCGCTCGCGGACGAGGGCCCTGCTCGTTGCATCCTCAAAATTTGCCCCTCCTGGGGTGTTCAAGAGCTGTCCATCCTCCTCGTCCTCCTGCCCCCCGCCTTCCTCCTTCTCCTCCTTCCCCTCCTCTTCCTCCTCCTCCTCCTCCTCCTCCCTCCTCCTCCCTCCTCCTCCTGCTCCTCCTTTTTCAAGAAGTGCGATGCCCGATTTTTTTGGGCGTTCAAGCGCTATCTGCGCCTGGTCGATTACTTCGGTGGCCCACTCGTATTGCAAGCATGCGATCCGGGTCCCATATAAAGAGGGGGTTTCCGCCGGACAGGTCCAAGGCAAGTCGCCCACAGGCGAGGACCCCGCTTGAGACATCGTCGCGACGTGCCCCTTCCGGGGCATTCAAGTGCGATGATGTCGAATGTATCCCGATGGCTCGCTCGAAGGACCAAGATGAACCGAGGGCCCCAAAAAGAGAGGGCTCCCGCTTGAGACTCCCTCGCAAAGCGTTCACAGGCCAGGCATGCGCTGGAGTGTTCGTCCATGTCGGTGTGTGAGCATACGAATGCTGGTGGTGATGCTGGTGCTGCTGATGATGATGGCCGTGATATAGGTAATTATGTGAGTGTCGTCGACTGGTGGTTATATGGTGCGATGACGCGGGTCGACGGTCATGGTGTGTTTATGATGGCGATGATGGTGGTGATAAGCATGATGGTGATGGTGATGATTGAAGAAAGCTGGGGTGGGTGTTGGGTGTATGACGGAGGATGATGCGGATGGAAGAGGAGAGGGGGACAGAAGGGGGTGAGGTGAGACTGCGCGGGGGGGGCAGAGAGAGCAGTCTCCACATTTAGGATGTGGGGAACAAACCTCCTCCTTTCCCGCTTCCCTCCTCCCCCTCGTCCTCCCCCTCATCCCCTCCTCTGCTCCCGTGCTGCAGGGGCGCCCGGAGCTTCTGGCACCGGGCGGGGTCTCCCAGGCACTCCCACGCCTCCCAGACGGTCCCAGGCGCTCCCAGACGCTCCAATCCCTCTCCAAGCGCTTCCAGGCTCGCCGTCGCCACAAGCAGCAGCACCCACATTTTCACATTCGCCATCCTCGTCGCCGCAAGAGGCGTCAAGGAGCAGATACTTTCAGATCTCGTTGGCGCGTTCAGATTGTTGAGGAGGTCGGTCCTATGGGAAGGGTTTAGGGCGGGAGGGGCTGATCCGCGCAAGCTCTTGTGATCGTAGCCCTTGCAGCCTAACGCTCCAACCTTCACATTCTAACCCTAGCGCGCTAACGCACCAAACCGACCCCCCCCCCAGCTCGAAGCCCCTGACACTTACACTGTAACCCCAGCGCTTTCGACCTAACAGCCTAACCCTAGAACGTAATCAAAACACGGCCTACTATATGCCAGGGTTCACCCCGGCCCACCCCGCTTGCCGCCGAGCAGGCGAGGGCCAAGGGGTTGACCCCCCCTGTTATGGCGCAGGCGGGGGGAGTGGAAGTGTTCGTTCGCATCAGCCCCCTTCGTCTTGTTGCAGGTCCTCCATTGGCCCCTTTTGTCCTTGCGGGATTGGTTTAGGGGTGGCATCGACCGCTCTGCCCAGAGCCCCGACGTCGTGATGTTCTCAAAACGTGGACCTTCAGAGGTCTCGACCTCTTCCCGAACAACGCGTTGTTATGTTGTTCGGATCCTGGGCCCCAGAGGCGCTAGAGGACATAACCATAAACGTTCGGAGTTCCGCGCTGATTAACTGGGTCGGCGCTGAGCTGCCCCCTCCAATCCGGCGCTGAGCGCGCCAGGGGCGGCGCAAAAGGCGCCGCCACGGGGGGTGTTCCAAATCCCTTAATAATCGACCCCTCCCCCAAAAAATGGACCCCCCTCAAAATGCGACCTGATATTCCAGACCCCCTTTTTCGACGGGACACCTGAATATTCCGGACACCCCTTCAGCAATGTAATTGAGGGGCGTTTGCGCAGAATATTGCTTTCGCGCTGGAGGCGCGAGCCATGAGATTGTTATCGCTGCCCTGATTGATGTCGATGATGGTGATGATGAGGATGATGATGATGACGATGATGATGATGATGATGATGATGCTGATGATGATGATGATGATGATGATGATGATGATGATAATAATGATAATGATAATGATGCTGATGATGATGATGATGATGATGATGATGATGATGATGTGGGTAATGATGATGACGATGAAGAACAAACTGATGATCAAGATGCTGAAATGCATCGAAAACAAGAAGTTGACCAAAGGGTTCCAAAAGGCGCCTGAATAACCCGATTCCTCTTAAGCTCCAATCCAAAGAAAGCGCCGTAATACACCGGACCCCCCATCTACAAAAAGGCGCTTTAGAAAATTTGACCCGGGGGACAAGTAATTAGGGATTTTGAGTATAGTACCGACCTGGAACATGCATGCGGACCACCATCAATCTCATGGTCATGCAATCCTTCTTCTACTTCTTTCTCTACACCCCTGAATAGACCTCAGGTGCGAAGAAGAGATGGGTTCATCAGCGCATCAGTGCGCGGCAAGAAAAATGAGGGGCAGCTGCATGCGGGAGATCTCATTGCTCGAACCATGATATACGCCTCCCTTAGTCCTCTCATTCCCCAATCGACGCCTGGTGGCTTTCGGGCCTCCAGCAGCCGTTCGGGACGAACCAGGCACCTCTGGACAGCTGCCGGCGAGGTGCCTTTGATGGAAAGCATCCCGAAGTGAGAAGATCACCAAGAAACAACTAAAGCTTCTCCCCACCTCCGCCTTCTCGGGGGTTGCTACAGGTCCTCCTCGACCCAAGATGGCCCCAGCTATTCGCTCATCTTTGAAGCCCCTGGAGCCACTCAGACCTCGTGAAGTGTGCTCCCTGGTCTCATAAGCAGCACTTGAGCCCGTGGGGAGCACTGGGAAGCACTTGGGAAATCTGGGCGCGTCTGGGAGCACTTGGAAGCCCTTGCGACGTCTGGGGCCCCTCTGAAGATCAGCGCGGGCGCACCGAAATTATGTCCGTTTACACAGGATGGTAAGAGTAGGCTCGATGTGAGGATCCGCGCACGGGATCGCGACGGTTAAGTGGGTCTGCGAATCAGCGGATATGCAAACGCCTGTCTATTATGTATCGTATGGTGAGCGTGGGTCGCTATGATGATTAGCCAGTGTCCACCAACTCGTATTTGTTGCCTGGTATCGTAGGGGGTGGGTGCGCGCGAAGATCAGCAGATGTGCGTCGACTTCGTGTTTTTTGTGTAGGATCGTGAGTGCTGTGTTGGGTCGCTACGAAAAGAAGCCAGTGTCCACCACATTGAACGTTGTGCAAGGGGACGTGAAGGTCGGTCGGGTGTGAAGACCAGTTGATGCGCGCCGACTGCTTTTTGTTGTAGAGGTTGTTGAGTGTTGGGTTGTTGTGAAGACCAGCCGATGTCTACCACATTGCGTTTGTTGCAAGGGATGGACGGCTGGGCCGCGGCCAAAGGCTGGCTTGGGGGCGGTATGGGGGCGGTGCGGGGCTGGCCGCGGCAGCGAGTCAGGGCTATATAATTGTAGGAGTCGGGGACTGACGATTGGGGTCAGGGAGGCTAGCGTGTGATGACTAGGGCGGTAGGTTTAGTATGTTAGGGTCAACAGGTCAGGGTTCAATGGGTGGGTAGGGTGTAAGGGTGCAAATGTGGGGGGGGCGTTATAACTTAAGGGTCAGGGGAGTTGAGATTTGGTGTCAGGGCGTTCGGGTATGTACAGATACGCTGGGTAGAGTTTGGGTTAGGTGTTAGGTTGTATTACGTGTTAAGGTCAGGGTGCGAGGGGTAGGGTGTTAGCTCTATGGGGTTAGCATTAGGGCGTTAGGGTGTTAGGATATTCGGGTCAGGGCGAGTAGGGGTAGGATTCACTGTCCTTCCCACCATTTGTGCATTTGCCCAGGACGGCAGGGTGTGGCATTAGTGCGCACCGTTGGAGATGCTTCGGCCCAGGTTTTTGAGGCGGCCCCGCGCGCCCGCGGGCGCAGATGCTTTCGTTGATCGCGCGTCCGTCACATCCCCTCCTTCATCCTCCGTTCATCTCGTCCTCCTCGTCCTCCTCGTCCTCCTCCTCCACTTCCCATCCCCCTTCACGATCCCGGGGTGCCCAGGGTCGTGCGACCGCGTATGTCAGTGGAGTTGGCGCTCTCTCCGTTCTCGGCGCGCATCCACACACAGAAGACGGGCGCCGCGTGGACACGGCGGCAGCGCCAACGCGGGCGTGCAGGGTTGGGAAGCCGCCGGGAGCACATGCCGTCCTGGAGTTGTGTGTTCGGCGCTCTCGGCCTCCCCAGGCCCCCGGGACCGCCTCAACAACGACGGAGCCCATGCAGCCACACGTCGGGGGCCGTCCGTGGCATCCCAGCCTTCCTCGTTGTGGAGTCGTGGGGTTGCGGCTGCACGCGCAGCGACTCTATCCAGTAGTGTTCAGTCGGGCGTGTCCCCCTACTGGGGGACCTTCGACAAAAAAACAAAAATCCCCCCTAAAATAGTCAAAAAATAATCCCAAAGTAGTCAGGGGACTATTTTTTGAGTATTTGTTGGCCTCTTTGGGGTATTTTTTATTTTCCGTTGAAAATCCCCCTGTAGGAGGACAGGCCCGACGTAACAGCAGTGTTGGAGTTTGTTGGTTCTTGGCCCACACACAGCACAGAGAGCCTCGCAGTTCTTCGCGCGCCCCACCTGCATCCCCGAGCAGCCTTGGCCACGCGGGAGCCGATCCGACGTGCAGGCAGGCACGCGGGGGCCGGTGTCGAGGTGTCAGCGTTGGGTTGGCATGCGTGTACAGTCGGGGCGCTGAAGAAGGAACCCTTCTAGTTGGGGAGGGGCTCCGTCGCCGTGTCCTTTGATTGTTTCCCAGCTTGCCTTAGGTTTTCCTTAGGTTTTCGATGGGAAATCGAACTTTAACTGATGGGACAAATGGGCCTCGTTCCTTTTTCAGGGTTCCTTGGGTCAACGTCCCGACTGTAATGGTGCGCGGGCGTGCCCGCCTCCCCTTGCGCAGGCCTGCGGCTGGACGAGATCCTCGTGATCCTGCTGGACCACGAGGAGCGGAGCCTCGTGTGCCACCCCCGCTGCACGGGCCTCGGCGGGCGTCTGGGCGCGCGCCCGGGCGTCTCGGCTTCCCTCCTCCCCCTCCCGCGCCCCCTGTCGGCCTCGTTATCATCGTCCGCCGTTCGTCGTCGTGTCGTGTCTCTCTGACCTCTGTCACTGCCTCTTGCGCTGGTAAAGAAGTGTGCCACCCCCCTGCTGCACGTCGTGCTCGTTTTCGGCCTGACCCGCATCTGGGAGCCCTTGGCGCACCGGTTACCCTTGCGTCGGAAGTGCTGGCCCTTGGGCGGTTTGCCTGTCTCGCCAAGCTTCGAGTGCAGAGTTTGAGTCATGCCGAACTGCCAACGTCGGATGGCAGTGCCTGCTTGTCCTAGCTTGGGTCCTTGGGGCCAAAACAGGAGGAGGAAGAGGAGGAGGAGGAGGAGGAGGAGGCAGAGGAGGAGGAGGAGGAGGAGGAGGCAGAGGAGGAGGAGGAGGAGGAGGAGGAGGAGGAGGAGGAGGAGGACGGGGATCGGTGGCGAGCCCGAGGGGAAACGAGAAGGGGCGGGGCCGTCTCTCTTCCCTGGCGGCTCGGAGGGCCTCGGGCCCTCCGGGAAGCCGAGCCGTCCCCGAGGACAGCCGTCGAGCCCTGTTTGGGGGGCACGTGGCAGTGCGCGTCGCGCACAGCCCGTACTCGACGTCCGTTCCGTTCCGTTCCGCTCCGCCGAGGACACACGGAACGTCTCCGAGAGCCGCAGGGTTGCTGAGAGGCCCCGCCGCCTTCTGAGAAGGCTCTCTCCCTCTCCGGTCCCTAAGACTAGGGGGCCACATGCGAACCCTACCCCTACCCCCCACGATTTCTGAGGGGGGATGGGGGAGGCGAAGTGAACCCAGCCCTACCCCTCAGAAATCATGGGGGGTTGGGGTAGGGTTCGCATGTGGCCCTGTATAAGGCGAAGCCAGGACGTCTGGCGCGTCTGAACAGCAGGCAGTGCGAGATAGGACTTCTCCCTCTCACTTCCCCCCTCGGGGCTCGCCGCCGAGGCTCCCATAGGTAGCGATAGGCTCCACGAGGCTCCTCGGGGGCTTCTCGGAGAAGGCCTGGAGAGCTCCTCGGGAGGCCCGAGGCCGAGCCCTCTGAGACGGCCCGCCCTCCTGCCTCCCCTCCTCGCTCCCGCACAGACGCACAAGCATGCCGAGCTCCGCGCCGGCACCGACCCCAGGGACCTCTCCCCCCAGCCTCCTCTGCTACCTTGTGACGCTAAGCCGCGCCAGACGCCCCGAGGCCGCGGCCTCGCCCACCCGGTCTTAGCTGGGGCCGGACGGCGTCCGCAGCGGTGGTCGTATCTCGGACAGTCGGCCCGGATTAGTAGGTCGACCCTGCCACATCAAGGGTACCCTTTAATTTTGTGTCTCGCGACCCGTGCCTCCTGCACTCCTATGGCAACGTGGCCCTCGGAAGGGCCTTGTGTCCTCTCGCGTCTCCTCTCCAATCAAGTCCGACTGTACAGTGCCGTTTTTTATACATGCTCCGCGTGCGGATCATGTATTAAAAATGCAGGGGGTAGTTTCTAAAACAACGATGAGTTCATGCATACATGTATTCATAACTTAATCATGTATTTAAAAAGATACTTCTAACAATCCTATGCATTAAAAGCTGCCCTGTATCGTATCGGGTCCCCCCCGGGCGTGCCGCCGGCCCCCCGCAGGTACTTCGTCTGCGGCATATTGGTCAACCTCGCGGGGGCCCACCCCGAGTGCACCGCCCGGCTCGTGGGGGCGTGCCCGCTGATACAGAAGCTGGGGAAGGCCCTCCTCGCTCGGGGCACGGCAGGGCTCGCCCTCGCCCTCGCCCCGGAGGAGGAGGAGGCGGAGGAGGAGGGAGGATGAGGAGGAGGAGGAGGTGGTGGTGGTGGTGGTGGAGGAGGAGGAGGAGGAGGTGGTGGTGGCTGTGGAGGAGGAGGAGGAGGAGGGGGAGGAGGAGGAGGAGGAGGAGCAGGAGGAGGAGGAGGAGGAGGAGGGAGGAGGAGGAGGAAGAGGAGGAGGAGGGGGACGGAGAAGGAAGATGTGACCTGATACATACAGGCTCGCCTCCTCGGCCTCCTCCTTCTCCCGGCTTCTCCCCCGCCCCCCCCCTCGCGTCCTCCCACCCCTACGCGTTCTCTGGCCCCTCGGCGTCAGCTTCGACCCGCTCGGTGTTGCTCCCGATGCTCCGGCGATCCGGTGTGGCCCGACGCTTGCTTCCCTCGAGGGGCTGGGGTGTCCTGGGGGCGGCGGGTCCTCAGGGTGTTGGGCCGCTCTTCCGAGCGTGAATTACCTACTCCGGATCTCATAACAATGGGGGGGGGGGGGTCTGGTTCTGGGGGGGTTCACGGGCTTCGTCAAACACATTTGTGGAGGGGTCTCGATGTTGGACCTTTTGTTGCCTTTCTTTGGGGAGGGTCCGTCAAACACTTTTTTGACCCCCCCCCACTATCATGAGATTTGGAGTACCCCGCTCTCGCTTCCAGGCAAAACCAAGTCACACCACGCGCCTCCTCGTCAAGCGGCCTGACCAGGACAGGCCGCAGCTTGGCATCGCTTGGTATCTCTTGGAAGCGAGGTTGGTCAAGAGCGAGGTAGGTTTATTTGTCCCCTACTTCTCGAGCTCCCGTGGCCCTCCACGGGCCCCGGGGAGCGTCGAGGAACGGCTCACGATGAGAAGCGGATTTGGGGGGAAGCCCCTGCGGGGTCCAGGACCCGTTGCCGTCTGGGCCTCCCAGATGGGGTCCGAGTAACGTCGTCGTCGTCGTCGTCATCATCTTCGTCGATGTCGTCGCCTCCTCGCGGTCGTCATCGTCGTCGTCGTTGTTGTGAGGCGGGTGCCGCGGGTGGGACCCTGTCCATTAATAAGGTCGTTCGGATCCAATTATTGAGGGGGGATTCTAAAGGCCTACCGCGGTTAGATGCGATCAGAGGATGGTGCCGTACCGTTGATGCATCAGCGATGCGGCTCGATGGAGCTCGATTGTCTCCACGCCGATGTTGCCGATGCACCGCCTACGTCGCCAGTGTATCGCCGATGCATCGGTGATACATCGACGATGTTCAGTGATCCTCCGACCCCATCTTGGAGGTCCCTATTCCCTCATGTCCTCTCGTTCCCCCCATCGCTCTCCTCCTCTCCGCGGAGAGGGTTCAAGGATATCGATCTGTAACGTAAACCAGTTGGTTCCTCTTTCGGCATTCAGAGATGTCTTAGTACATGTGTGTTCTGACCCTTCCCTTCCCCCTCTCGTTTTTTCCCCCGCTTCTCTCCTTCTCTCTTCTTCCCTCTCTTCTGTCATCTCCTCTTTTCTGTCCGCTCCTGTTTCCTCAGTTCCTCCTCTCCCCTCTGCTCTCTCCTGGATCAAATCAACAAGACAAGGTGGGAGTACTTGGACAGGTCATCAAGGAACATTAGTCCCAAGGCGCTCCTCGGCAGAGTCTACTATGGTGGTTTATCAGGCAACGTCTGGGGTCCGTCCTCCAGTTCGCCTCCCGGTCGCCTCGCCTCTCTTCCCCCATTCGCCTTGCCTCTCTTCCCTGATCCTGCTCTCCGTCGTTCTCCGCGTCGCCCTCGAACCCTCCTGCGTCGCAGCCGCAGCCGGCAGGGAGGACGCGTCGTTAAAGCAGGTTCCTCGCGGCGGCGATGTTGGCGCGGCGGTCCGAGGCTGAGGGCCGCTGGCGGCCTGACAGGGCTCTTTTTGATTCCTCCGATTCGGTTCTGTTCGACTTCGATGGCTTCCGACTCCGCTTCGACTCGACCTGGGATTCCGACGTGGGCTCCGATTCCTCAACGGTGGCCCATTAGCCTGCCGATTTCTGCCGATTCGACTTCTCCCAACTCGGCTGCCGATTTCCGCCGATCTCATTCACTTCGATCGCCGATCCGACTTGTCGATTCGATTTTGGGCTCTCCTGCATTCTCAGGGTCAACGTCAAGGGGGGATCGGCTCAGGTGGGAACGCATCGACCCCCCAATCGCCTCCCCTCTCGCGGAAGAAACAACGGCATAGACATGAATTTTCGGCGCTCCGCGCGGACTTCTTGGGTCCGCGCTGGGCCCCTTCGGCGGCGCCTCCGGCGCCGCCGCCCCTGGCGCGCTCCGCGCGCCAGGGAGAAGGGGTCTGGCGCAGACCCAGGAACTCCGCGCGGAGCTCCAAGAGTTGATGTTCATGCGTTTTTGTTGTTCTTCTGCACCCCTCGCCGATAGGAGACCGATGGCCCAACCCGCCCAGGAACGAGCGGATTCGTTATCGGGGGCCCAGCGCCGGTCTATCGGCGATGCCTCGCCGAGTCCAGCTTGATGTTTCCCCCCTTTGACCCGTTCCCCCCCTCGCGTTCCCACTCACATCTTGCGCCTCTGGATAGCGGAGGCCGCTCAAGACTGAAGGATCGACGCGGTGTCGGAAGCCAGCGCCCGCGTCGGTACCGCAGGAACCTGGAGGTCTCTGCCCATCGGATCCGACGAAAGGAACAGGAAGGGGGATTGGGAAGGGCGGGGGACGAGAGCTGCTGCGTGCAGCTGGCTTCGGCCCCGTCGCGCTGGGCGCTTCCCTCCTCGCACTGGCGCGTCTGGCGCCAGGAGTTGACGGCAAAAGCCGCTGCGAGAGCTGACTCGCCAACGCACCTGTGCTATCCCTTCATTAACCCCTTCTGCTACCCCAGAGCACGAACCCAGCGGCCGGGAGCTTTCCAGAAGCCCGCGGGGACCTATGGAGGTCCGGTGTGGAACGAACCGGAGGCGAAAGATTGGACGACCGACGCGGTGCCGGAGGCGAGCATCCGCGTCGGCGCCGCAGGCGCCTGGAGGCCTCCAGAGGTGCATGGAGCTCCTGCAGAGGCCAGCGGGGACCTCGAGAGGCCCGGCGTGGGCCTCGGCCGCCGCCCCCCCTGCAGTCAGGCGGTGGACTGACCTCCTGCCCTGACACGTCGATTGAGGAATTGGCCGTTTTCAGTTCGCGAGAGGGCGTCGCGGCCGTCATTTCTGCGGGTCCAGGTCCGCCGGTTTCGGTCCCGGGCCGTTTTCACTAAGGGGAGGTCGACTAAAGGGAGGTTTGTCCACCGCCGATGCAGCCCCTCACGTCCGATCCGGGCCCAGTGGTGCGGGGGCTCCCCGGAGGCCCGCGGGGGCCTCTGGAGGACCAGCGTGGGCCGCGGGCGGGCCACGCGAGCGGCGACCTTCGCGGGGCCGGCACGAGGGGAGCCAGCCGTGCCCCGGCCCGCGCGCGCGCCCCCGCGGAGACCGGGGAGGGAGCCGCGGGAGGGCGGAGGGCGGAAGGCAGAGGGGTAGTGGCAGAGCGGAGGAGGAGGGCGGAGGAGGAGGAGGAGGAGGAGGAGGACCAGAGTAAGCCCAAGAGTCATCAACGATGTTGGAATGAACCCTCCCTCCAAGCTCCCTCTTCATGGGCCCCTGCAACGGTTCATTTCCATTGAGAGAACTGCCTCGTTGGAGGACAGCCGTCTGAAGACCCTGAAGCATGCCAGAACATTGTTCTTGGGATTTCAACGCCGCGGATCAACTGACTGCTGCGTCTTGAAGATCTGGACTCGTGCCAGAACGCCATGTTGTAGACTTCAACACCGCGAACCAACATAACTGTTGCACCCGCATAATCTTGAATCCTTCCAAAACACCATTTCTGGTATGCTGATCATGGGATTCCGTGAAGCTCTGCTAATAAAAAACGAATGTTCGCGGCGCTAAGGCGAGAGCCACATTTTGAAAATGAGCCGCCCTCAATTTGTGAAGCTCTTGCAATTTCTTCTTGACGGACAAATGTGCGCGGCGCCGAAGCGAGAGCCACATTTTGAAAACGACCCGCCTTCAATGCGTGAAGCTCTTGCAAATGTTTGCAACGAATGTGCGCGGCGCTAAGGCGAGAGCCACATTTTGAAAACGATCCGCCCTCAATCCGTGAAGCTCTGGCAATTGTTTCACCGAATGTGCGCGGCTCTAAGGCGAGATCCACATTTTGAAAACCACCCGCCCTCCCTCTGTGAAACTGTTGCCACTTTTCAACCTTCAGAGGCATAAGTGGTGAGGAAAGCTCAGGCGAAACGCCCGGCCCGCCCTGAAAACTGGCCTCGGGGTGCGACAGGGAGAAGTTTAGCAGGAGGAAGAGGAGGACGAGGAGGAAGAGGAGGAAGAGGAGGAAGAGGAGGAGGAGGAGGAGGGCGGAGGAGGAGGGAGGAGGAGGAAGGGCGGAGGAGCCAGGAGCAGCAGCAGGAGGTGGAGGGTGGAGCGGCAGCAGGGCGGGGGGAGCCAGGAACGCGACCAGCAGCAAGAGGAGGCGGGGGAGGAGGGGTGGCGCCGCTGGCACGCCCGAGCGGGCGCCCGCTTCGCGCCCTCCCCCGCCGTTCTGCAGCTGCTGTGCGACATGGGCGCCGAGGACGACGTGCAGATGCAGGACGTCGCCGTGAAGGCGGCAGCCTCGCCGGCGACGGCGGCGGCGACGGCGTCGGCAGCCACGGTGGCGGCGCCCGCCTCGGCGGCAGCCACGGCGGCGCCGGCGCCGGCGAAGGGGGCGCCTCCAGCGTCCAGCGGCGGCCGGGCCGACCGCCTGCGCACGCGCGGCGCCTGCGCGCGCCGGAGGCGCAGGCCGCCGCCACGGGTCCTTCGGGGGAGTCGTAGACGGAAAAAAAAATCTGGGGGGGAAACACATAGACACAATGAATCGTCGATTCCCAAGAAAAATTAGGAAACCATGGGAATTGGGCGGGAAGACAAAAAACCCGGAAATATAGGGAATCCTTCATTTGTGTGTTTTTTTGTGTGTCCTTGGCCCCCTTGAAAAATGGCATGTGTGAGCATAAGCTGTCGGAGCTCTGCGCGGACTTCTCGGATCTGCGCTGCGGCGCCTCTGGCCTGGCGCCGCCCTTGGCGCGGGGAGCGCGCCAGGGAGGGGGCAGGCAGCGCAGATCCAAGAAATTCGCGCAGAGCTCCAGAAGTCTATGTTTAGGTCGGGCGTGTCCCCCTACAGGCGGATTTGGGATGACAACTGAGAAGTACCCCAAAAAATAGTCAAAAATCCCCAGGCTGTTTTTGAAACAACTAGTTTTGAAGATTCCTCCTGTAGAGGGACAGGCCCGACTTTTAAGTCTATGCTGATGCAGTTGTTTGACCACGGAGCGCCTCAGACCCCAGCCTGCGGCCGAGGGTTTGAGGCGGCCCATCGCTGGCGCTTCGCGCCATGCACCTTAGTCCTCTAGGCTTTGCTTACTTTGGTCGCTCGCGCCATCCCTCCCTCGTGGCCTTGGAAATTTGGCACCCTCCCTGCGGTTGTTTTCGGAAGTCTTCGAAAATTCGGGCGGTCCGCGGCTCTTCCTGGGCCTCCGGGGGCTCTGGCTTCGGCGAGCAAAAAAGGGGGGAAGAGGCTCAAGTCTGGACGCCCGAAATGGGTACGGAAAGATTGGGTAATTGCAATGCCCAATAGCAGTTCCTGTTCATTTTGAGCAGGATTCGCTGTCCACGCCGCCGCGGCCTGTGTCCATTCGAGACAGATGGCCGCCTGCACAACAGCGGCCGCTGTTGGTTTGGGACAACATTTGTTGTTGGGCATTGTGACCATCTTTCCGTACCTATTTCGGGCGTCCAAATCAAGGTGTTGAGTTCGAGAAGGTGTTTCTATATTTGTTCGGCCTCCAGGCGCCGCTTTCGGGCCCTGGGACCGTGAAAAGCAGATCCAGCGTGAGCACCTACATCCAGGTCTGGGCCCAGGGACGGGTCAAGGAACCGATTTTGAGCGGATTCGCTTGTATCCATTTTCTGGACCGCTTCTTCTCGGGGCCCTTCCAGTTCAGACAGAGCAAAGGGATAACGCATCAGGAACGCAGTGAAAACGGAAAGAAATTGTGCGGGCGGGTGAGGGGGCACGCGTGAAGTTGAACATCGAGTGAACCTCGCGCCTCAAACGGCGGTGTGACATGTGCAAACAAGTGCTGGCCCGTGTTCCAGAAGCGGTCGCAGAACGTAGCCGACAACGGAAATGACGCCGCAGAAGTCACCACGAGCAAGCAACGCTCTGGTAAGGCACCGGATCCTGCAGGATCCTGCGAAGACCCCCTCTGGCTGACCCGGGTTAGCGAGCCGCTCGTGGCCGCGAGGCGGCCGCGCCTACTGGCCGACCCGGGTGTGCGAAGACCTGCGTTGCAGTTTTTTTTCCTGCATTGCAGTTTTTTGTTTCCTGTTGACCCGCCGGGTCTGGATTGACCCGGGTCAGAAGATCCCCGGCCCTCTCCGCGTTCCATGGCCCCGCGGCCACCGAGAGCGGATATGCGGGCCGGCACGTCGCCCTCTCCCTCCCAGTGAAGCGGGGCTTCTCGGGCGCCGCGCACGGCAGGCACCGCCGACGCGTGGTCCAGCCCGCCTTTGGGCGACTCGAAGACGACGAGACTGCATGAGCACAAGCTGCTGCAGTCTTCTGCTCCTGTATACAGTCAAAAACCCTAATAAGGACGCGCGACTTTGCTCAGGGTACCCTTACGTCCTTGCTCTTCCTTGCTCTTGCGTCCTTGAGGTTTTCGTCGTCCGCCGCCCCAAAAATCCCAACTTCGGCTTCCAAGGGTCTTGCGTCCTTTCCGCGCGTCCTTATCAGGGTTTTTGACTGCAGTGTATCTGTATAGTGACCCCCAGGCACCAAGCAGACACTGCCTGTCTGGGAGTCCAGGGGTCTGCAGGGGGCATCGGGAGAAGCTGGATGCGCACGGCGCGGCGGGCCTGCGCAGGAGCTGGAGAGTTGGACGTGCGGCCGGATGTCTTTCTGGCGCTCGGCCCCTTGGCTGCCAGGCGCTCCGTGTTTCCGCATGTGTCTCCAGGGCGGGGCCTCTGGATTTGGAGCCAGCTGGAGGTCTGAGATGACCCAGCATTGGTTCCCACCTGCAGGAAGGGGGGGCAGGTTGGAGGTTCTGCAGGGCCTGGCTCCGACCAGCAGGAAGGGGGGACAGGTTGGAGGTTCTGGGTTCGAGACATGTTTCATGCCTTTTCGGCCTCTGGGCGCCGTTTTCGGGCCCCAGGACCGTCAGAAACGGTTCCGGGGTGCAGAACGAAACCACCAGACGGACCCCGGGAAGAGTCCAGGAACAAATTTTGAGCGGACGTGACTCGGTGGTCCCAACCAGTCTGGACCCCCCGGCCGCCTCCAAATCCCGAGGCTCCACATGTGAAGCCAGCAACGTGTGCTGAATTTCTTTTTCGTGGCCTCATGACACCTGTACGCGGATCTTGCCCAGGCCAGTCTTGCAAGCAGGATCGGTATGTATGCGCCCTCCCGGCTTGGCTAGGAAAGCGTATCACCTCAGGAGGCTTTTAGTCATTGCCCCCCCCTGTGTCTCCAGGCGGGAAGAGAGCTCACCCCTCCTGCTCCTCCTGCTCCTACTCATCGTCCTCCTCCTCCTCCTCCTCGTCTTCCTCCTCCTCCTCCTCCTCCTCCTCCTCTCCCACTCCTGCTCCTCCTCCTGCTCCCCCTCCTCCTGCTCCTCCTCCTCCTCCTCCTCCTCCTCCTCCTCCTCCTCCTCCTCCTCCTCCTCCTCCTCCTCCTCCCCCCCCTTTCCTCCTACCTCTCTTTCCGCCCTCTTGGAGGATGTCGCCCCTCCCTTCAGGTGACACAGAGGCCCCCTGTGATTCGTGAGTGTTCTCCAGCTCGCCTGCCATGTGCTACTGGCAGAACTGCTGCTGGCGCATGGTCGGCGCCAGCGGCGACAGGGGGAGCACTTCCCAGTCAGGTTCGGTGGGCTGGACATTCTTGGGTGGTTTATCTCCCCCAGCAAGTAATCCACAGTGGGCCACCCCACATGCGAGAAGAATGGTGGGCATCTTTTCATTCGGACTACACAGGAAATGGACATCTTTTTGAGTCGCGAGTTCTCTTAAACTGGTCTTGGTATTGTTGCTGGCAGAACTGCTGCTGGCGCCTGGTCAGCGCCTGGTGAGCCAGGGAAGTCGTCTCCCACCGATGGCCGGTGGCTGGATATTCTTGGGTGGTGTTTTCGCCCAGTGAGTATGATGCACCATGAGCTACCCACACGCGAGGGGAAGTGTGAGCAAGTTCTCATGATGATTGCAACCGGATGGAGTGTCACAGGGTGGAATGTCTGAGGATCGAGTTTCTGAGCTACGATTTCCCGTGACAGCGTTCTTCAGGCATGAGTAGTATCGAGTATAGTCAGGACCCCAGGTGAGGGGACCCGGTTAGTAGTAGGGCCTTGGAGCCTCTAAAATGGCCAGAATCTTTGAACCAGGTCTGCCGTAGTTGGTGTTTTTTTTTTCGGGTGACGGCAGTTCCGGTTAGTGGAACGGGGCGGGGGCACCCCCCAGCACACATCATTAAGCCAGGTCCCACTAAGCCGAGTTCTGCCAACGCCCGATAGTAGTCCTCGTAGTCGTAATCGTAGTCGTGGTCGATGACCATTCGTAGTCGTAGTCGTAGCCGTAGTCGTATCGTGTCGTAGTCGTTAGCGTAGTCGCAGCCGTTGTCGTTGCTGCGCGGCGGGTGCCGCCGCGGGGCAATGACTATTTTCCACGACTGGTGGGGCCCCGGTGCGTCAATCAGGTCGCCGGACAGGTACTCCAGATTTCGTAATAAAGGGAGGGGGATCTCATTTCGGGGGGGGTCTCTTCCAGGCTATCTTGGAGGGCCTGGGGGGTCTGGGGACGATGCTTTGGAGGGTTCTCCCACGGGGGAGGTCCGAAATGGCTTGTCTTGGAGGGTCCAGACCCCCTCCCTTTTATTACGAAATCTGGAGTAGGCGAGAACGCGAAACTCTATCTCGAAACGTCCGCGAGGATGATGTGTTTGCCTCTTGGGGCCCTAATTGAACGTCCTCTTGTGGCGTTCCAGGGGCCTCATGGGCCGTCTCGAGGCCGGCTCGCGCCGTCCTGGAGGATCTTGGAGGGCTTCGGGGGGCCACGCTGGAGCCCCTTGTGGACACCGTCTTGGGGCCCTCTCGGGACCCTCTGCGGCCGGGCTGTCGCTCTCCGACCTCGGGTAAAGATTCACGCGGCGCACCCAGAAGCCACGCAAGAAGCCCCGCAGCCCAGAAGCCATAACATCTCGACAGCTCATTGCAGTGAACTCGAAAGGACTTGAGGACACTCCACTCAATGATACGGGAGGGTGGCGGCTATTGAACGAGGGGGGATAGAGACAGAGAGAGCGAGAGAGAGAGAGAGAGCGAGATGGAGAGTGAGAGAGAGAGATATATAGAAACGAGGGACACAGAGAAAGAGACACCGATACGAATGAAGGAACCGATGAAGAGAGGGAAGCAGCGAAAGAGTCAGAGAGAAGGAGAGAGACACAAAAAAGAAGGAGAAAGGGACAGAGAACGAGAAATAGACGCACAGCGACAGAAAGAGAGAACAACAAATGTTTAGCATGGCCGCGCGTCGCTCCGAACAGAGGACCTGGCAGACCTCGCCACCATCGGGCGGGATCTTGGCCAAGCCCTGTGGGAGGGACCCCACGGGCAGGGTCCTGGCTTTCGAGGCGCCTCGGCCGCCGTTCACCGGCGATCGAGCGGCCTCGGAGCCGACGGATGACACCCCGCCCCCGCCCTTGGCGTCGCGTAGTGGGAGGGCGATAGATGTGGGGGCAGCGAGGGCTGCCGAACAGGGGCCCTGTAGGGCCCCTGAAGAGGCCCTTTCGGGCCCCGAAGGGGCCTCTGGGGCACGAGGAGTGCAGCTTTCTTCCCCCACTGCTTCTCGCCCCCCCCATCAAGCGATACCCCTCCCCGGCCTGCCGGCCAGGTGCTGATGAACCTTGCCATGGACCCGGGAGTCGCATGGCCGCCAGCGGACGCGGAGGTCGAGCCCGATGCGCCAGGAGGAGAGCGGGAGGCACAGGGTGGGGCCTTCCCCGCCCTCGACGCCCAAGGCGTTCGGGTCACCGGCGACATTGGGCGCGTCTGTGTCCACCCCTTTGCCCCGTCTAGTGTTCCTGCAGCTCCCGTGCGGGGACAGGGAGGAGAGGGATCGGGAGGAGGATGCAAGCAGTGGAGCAGCGGCGGGACGAGGCGCGGGGGTACGGGGGGTGGGAGGGGGGATGGCTGAGAGGGGCGAGGAGGGGGGGGCGGGGGAAGGCGGCGAGCGAGGAGGGGGGAGGAGGAGGAAAGATAGCGAGCGAGAGGGATGAAGGGGGGAGGGCGCACGGAGGGACGGAGTGACGGAGGTCGGGAGCGAGCATGTCCGCACCAGCCTTGGCCGTGGGCTGTGGTGGGCGGTGTGCGGCTGCCCGCTCCCGAGGAGGTGCCCGTGGAGGTTGCCGTCGTGCTTTCGGTGGCAGGCCCATCGGGCCCACAGCACGCCGACCTCCGAGGTCTTGGGGGGCAAAGTCCAGGCGGGGGTGCTTCTGCTTCCTCTGCGCCCTGGAGCCGCTGCCAGCCCTTGGGGGCCGTACGCGTGCGGTCCAGGACGGGAAGCCACAATCCCCGTGGCCGTGTGGAGAGTCCAAGGCCCCCCCATAATGACTAAAGGAGGCGCCGGGAGGTCTGGGCGGGGGGGAGGACGACGGCGACGACGCCGAGGATTGGTACGAGGGGGGGGAGGGGCGACGAGGAATGGGGGGAGAAGGAGGAGGAAGGGAGGAAGGGAGGAGGAGGTGGGAGAGGATCGGACATCGCCAGAGGTGCACGTTGCACATGGCAGGTTTCGCGCGCGAGCGGCGCGCGCCGGGCCCCGTTATCGCTGCCAAGGGGAGTCTGTTGCACACCAGAGTGGCCCTTCGCTGGAGTGAGTCTTGGTGCGCGGCGTTTGGGGGGCGCGGGGTGGGCCAACCCCGGGCGCGCAGGCCGCCGCTGCTGCATGGCGCGCAGCGATTGGCAGGCCGCGCACCAGAGGTCAGTCTTGCCCAGGGTCACTCCTGGCGTGTCGCTGGCGAAGGAGTTCAGGAGGAGGTGGAGGGTTGGATGAGGCGGCGGAGGAGGAGGGGAAGATCAGAGGAGCGAGAATGCATGGTAACGGTACGTTCCAAGAGCCCCATGGCTTCTTGTTGTCCGGCGCGGCCAGAGACGCATCTGGAAATACGGAATGGACGAGGATTGCAGACATTTTGGATCTCTTGGCACGTTTCTTGAGTCTAGCGCATCGTTACATTGTTGTTCGTTCTGGAGAAGTCAGGGGCAGCGATAGGGGAGGAATTAGGCATAGGGTAGATGCATCGACCCCCAACCGCCCACTGATCGCCGATAGGGGCCCGATAGCCCCAACCTGCCCAGGAAGGTGCGGATTCACTACTTTATCATAAATTACTGGAGGCCAAGCGCCGATCTATCGGTGATGTATTTCTGATTCCAGGTCGATGTTCTCCCCCGTTGCCAGTGGCCCCCTATCCGTGCCACTCATGGAGGGGGAGGAGGAGGAGGAGGAGGAGGAGGAGGAGGAGGAGGAGGAGGAGGAGGCTTCCGAAGCTACCCCCCACCTGGGTAAGGGGTAACAATAAAGGTGGGCCCCACACGGCCCCGAACAAAAACCGGCCACCGCGGGTCCCAGCAGGTGTGCGAAGAGCGCACACCTTTTCACCCTCCCCATCGTGCCCCCCCCGTTAACGAACGCCTTATGATTATAAGAGGAGGGGAGGAGGAGGAGGAGGAGGAGGAGGCCACGGGGCCAGTCCTGCAAGATGCTGTGTCCGACAGGTGGCGGTTTTCGTGGCTAGGGGCCCGGGACCAGAACCCCATCGCCCGGGGGCCCCCTCTGGCGACGGAGGTGGGGACCCACTCGTCTGCCCCCGGGTTTTATGATGGGGGTAGGAAGGATGCGGAGGAGAAGGAGGAGGGCCGGGATGTGGCCGTTGGTTGCGCAGCAGCAGCCAGAGCCTCCTGCTGCGCACGCGGCGCGCCCACCTGCGCACGGGCGAGTCGCCCCTCCTCCGCGCCTCTTGTCTCTCTTCGTCTCCTTCGCCTCCCTCGTCCTCCCCAGCATCGCTTCCTCGTTTCCCGCGCTGCCGTCTCTGGTGCACCGCGCCCGCCGCACACTCGTTGCTGTGCGTCGGGCCGCCGGGGACTCGGGGCCGGGCCTCCCTTCGCCCGGGAGGGCGGCCGTCGGGGCAAAGGTTTCCCCCCCCCCCCCTGGGCTCTCGGAGGGGAGCTTTCGGCAGAACGGCGCGCAGACTGTCGCCGGGGAAGCAGCAAGGGGCATCAACATCAAAACTCCGAGGTCCGCGCAGAGCTCTCGGATCGGCGCTGGAGCCCCCTGGCGGCGCCTGCGGCGCCGCCCTTCGCGCATTCCGCGCGCCAGGGAGGTGGGTCCAGCGCCGATCCGAAAACTCCGAGCGGGCCTCCGAGTTTGAATGTTTATGCCAGTGTTCGTTCCCCTCTGCTGCAATGCCGAGTCCGACTGACCGAGAGACCTCCAAGCTCGCCGTCTCTCTACAGCCAGGACGCTGACATGTGTGACATGGGGACCGCTTCGGGTTTGGAAGGGGCTCGCTGTTCCTCAGGTCCTTCCGCGGTGGTTCCTCTGGCCCTCCTCGTGCACACGTGGCCCCTCTGGCGCCAGAGAGGGGGCCTCACCAAGCCTATATACCGGCGAGCAGGCGTGGCCCTATATGACCTTTGGGCAGGCGCTGGCGGCGGCCAGGGAGAAACTCGGAGGCCTAGGGCTCGGCACCAACACCAAAATGTCGGCGGCGTGCCTCCACCGAGGGAAGATGCTCCCAATCTCGGCGATGGTGGTACAGTGCCGTTTTTAATACATGCTCCGCGTGCGGATCATGTATTAGAAATGCAGGAATTTTGTATTAAAAGCAACGATGAGTTCATGCATACATTTATTCATGTATTATTCATGTATTTAAAATCTTATTTTTTTATATGTAGTAAAAACTGCCCTGTAATGTTCGGGCTTCTAGGTGGCCGACATTACCACCAACACCGAAATCTGGGGTCATCTTCCCCCTGTGGAGGCAACCACCCGTGTCGGTGTCGGTGCCCTGTTCCGGGCCTCCAAGGAACGCGCCGGGGGCCAGAGCAGATCGGCCCGCGGGGGGTCGGAGTTTGGGGCCTTCGGCCCCCGGGGGGCGCAGGGGGGGGGGGGGGGCTGGGCCAAGCAAGCGCGCAGGTCGCGGCTGAAGGCCGAATTCGTGTGGACCGATGGGCTGGCCCTCGCACCAGCGCTAACAGTAGGAATATTCAAAAACCACACCTGTAGACCTGTCTTGGACTGCCTAAAACCTCGACGGGAATTTAGACGCCGAGGTCCTGGTGCTATTTTTTGTTGAACCCTCCTGGAAGGTCAGGGTTCTCGGGGTGGGATTCCGGGGGCGGGGCGTCGATGGGTGTGCGTTGTCGGGTAGGGGTCTCCGCTGGAACGGGATCCCCGCTCGGGGTCCGACACCTGGCACCCATTCCTATGATTTGCGCCGTCATCGCCTTGCCCTTCCCCCTTTACTTCTCCCTCTAGGTTTGAGCGCGTGCTGTTTTTTCATCCATCCTCCATTGGAGCGCGCGAGCATGAGCTGCGGGCGGAGGAGAGGAGGGAGCCACTAGGATGCAGAGGGGCAATTCTGCATCGGCGCTGGTATATCTGTGGCCGAAGACCGGCCAAATCTGAAACCATCCCAGATAATTCCGTTCGAATTCTATTATATCTGGCCTGCCCTGGTTTTGGCCCTGTGCTGTCTGGGCCAATCCTGGTAAACGGTGTTCTAACCTTGCTTCATTCAAGGGCGTAGAGAAATCGCCTCTGCCCTGGCTTACGAGGCGCTGTTCGCTGAACCTCTTGCGGGCTGACAGGATAATCTAATATTACTTCATTCAAGGGCGTAGAAATCGCCTCTTCCCTGGTTTACGAGGCGCTGTTCGCTGAGCCTCCTGCGGGCTGACAGGATAAAAACCTTGCATGCCGCGCGTGTCGCGCGGCGCCCTGGTGGCTCTCTGGCCTTTCGGAGCTCCCGGGAGGTTTACAGACCACGCACTTGTAACCCATGCAGGCTAGGGGCCTTTTTGCACACCTCAATTTCGGTGGGGGCGCTCGTCAAGGAACGTGCCCAGGAGGCTTCAGACCCTGGAGGGCTCCTTATCCGATGAGGGAGGCGGTGATAACCCCATGGCCAATCCACGATTTGCTTCCCGCTGGCTTTCAGACCCTGGATTCCTTATCGAAGGTTTCCTTATCCAATGCCACCACTGTTCCGTAGCCATTTTGGCTCAAGCCTGTGTTCCGCCCGCTTCAGCGCGCGCGGGACCGCTTGGGATGGCACGGGCGGAGTCGGCCCATTGCGGCGATTCCAGCATAGAAGCATGCGGCCGGCGATCGAGAGCGACGCGGACGGCAGCACGGAGGAGGGCCTTGGTGGCAGCCGACGCGGGGCTTGCAGCAGCTCGTGCTCAAGTTCGAGCACTCGAGGAGCAGCTGCGGCACAAGACGTCGGAGTTCAACCAGCTGCTGCGGCACCTGGGCTACGGGGATCACCCTGACCCTCATGCAGACGAACTGCGCCAGCGGTGGATGGGCATCGAACCGGTTCTTCGAGCCCAGATCGAGGCCCGCGATGGCGTGGCGGCCGCCCCGCTCACCGACGTGGACATCCTGCGGCGGAACGTTTCGGAACATTCGGCAGTCGCGCCACGGGCGGCGGCCAGCGGCAGGGAGCTCAGGCGCTTCCAGAAGTCCGCGAGGCTGGCGCCGCCGCGGGCGCTGCGGCAGGAGGCGCGCGGCGTGCAGCTCCGCAGGGAAAGCCCAGCTTTCATTCCAGGTGCGGGAAGCTGGGAGCCGTTGCACGGCATGGGCGAGGCGGCGGCTGGCCTGCGCTGCACATGCGGCGCGGTGGTCTACAGCCAGTGGGAGCCCTTCGATACGAAGACGCTCGGCAAGGACGGCCAGCACGCGCAGCTTCTCGGCAGCGAGCAGAGCATCGGCAGTTGCGAGATGCAGGAGACGCTCGACGGCCTCGCGGAGGACCAGGGCAGCCAAGGGGACGGCGGTGCCGATCCCGAGATTGGGCAGCAGTGCATCGCGCGCGATGACGAGGAGCTGCTGCAGGAGGACTGCCTGGCAGAGAAGCTGGACTGGACGGCCTCGGCCCACAGGCTTCTGCTGGTTTCTGCAGAGGCCACGGGCCAGCAGCCGTTCGTACGGCGGCGTGCGCGCCTGGATCGAGAGCGCCGCGACCGTGACGTCGCCCAGCTCTGCGCCTCGTTCATGGAGGTGCTCGGGCGGTGAGCGGGCGCCGCGGGGCCCCGCGGGACCCCGCGCTGGTCCCGCGGCTTTGAATGCGTGCATGAAACCGCCGTGCTCGCGCGGCGCCTACACAGATAAAAAAAATGCCATCACTGTTATAGCCCTGAACTGAAACGCTCTTACGACGACTCCCAGGATTTGCCTGGGTGGGCACTGGTTTGGTTGCCACTCCTGGGAGCCCTGCCCTCGTAGCTCAGTTTTCGGAGCACAGCAGCGTGCGCCAGCGTCTGGCCATCGGTGCGAAAGCGCCGATTTAGCGTGGACAGGCGTCGATAGGCGTCGATTTAGCGTCGACTTGCAGTCAACCCGTAGAGTTCGGGGGCGGCAAAGAGGGGGTGATGATTAAGGGGGTGGATCAGATGGCGAAGGCCATGACATCTACCCAGATTTTGGGCGCCTCTTCTTATTTCAATACGTCTCCGGCCCCCCCATGGACCGCGCACATGCCGCCTGCCATGATTTGCGCCCCCCCCTCTTGGACGCCCCCCCCTCCTGGACGCCCCCGAATAGTGAAGATGAGCGACTCTCCAAGGCTACCCTGACACCCTTGCCCCTCGAGCCCATCCTTAGCGACTTTCCTCGGCCAGCCCCACCCGAGAAACGGCGACCTGGCTCTCCGGCCCCCGTCTCCCTGCGTCGTTTCTCAGGCCAGATCCATATCTGCGAGGGCCCCCGGGGCCCGCAACGGAGCGAGACTGTCCGTTGTGCGGTGGAGCCGCGGCAGCGCCAGGATCTCGGGGCAGACTCGGGCCGGACGAAAGGGGGGGATTGGGAAAGGGGGGGGTACGACATTTGCTGCATGCAGCTGGTTTCGGCCCCGCCGAGGGGTCCATTCCTCGATGCATGGCCGCCTCCCGGCGCCTCCCGGCGCCGGGAAAGTCAGCTACGCGAGCTGATTCTCCAGCCCCCCCTTTGCTATCCCCCCCTTTCGCCCGACCCGAGAGACGTGGAGGGAGACGTGGACCCTGGCCTCCCAGAGTGCTAAAAAATAGCCCTCGAGACCTATCGACCTATCTGGGCTGCCTAAAACCTCGACAGGGATTGAGATATCGAGGTCCTGGTGCTATTTTTTTGCCCTCCTGGAAGGTCAGGGTTGCCATTCCCCCCCTTTCGCCCGACCCGAGAGACGTGGAGGGGCCCCGCCGGCGGGCAGGGCGGCGCGGAGCGCAGAGGGCGCGCCCTGGGCCCGGCGCAGAGCCTACCCCGCGCGGAGTAGCCGCGCAGGTCGTGCGCGACGCGCTGGAGCAGATCGTGTCGGAGGGGCGTCGGCCCGCCGAGGAGCCCCGCCCCGCCTCGGCGGGGGGAGCGGCGGCGGCCGGGGCTCGCTTCGGGTCCCCCGCCTCGAGTCGGTGCGAGTTCGGTGGCCTTCGATTCCGATGCGCTTCGGCTCGGGAAGTATCGGTTCGGGCTCCGATGTCTTATTCAATCGCTTCGCTCACTCCGCCGGCCCTGGAGCGCTAGTTATTTGGGGCCTCTTGGGGCCGTCTTGGGGGCCTCTTGGGGGCTTCTTGGGAGCGTCTTGGAGCTCCTCGGCGGCGTCTCGGGCTCCGATGTCTGATTGCAGGCATGCTGGCCTGCCGATTTCTGCCGATTCGGCTCTTCCCGACTCGGCTGCCGATGTCCGCCGACCCGAGTCATCTCGATTGCCGATCCGCATTGTGGATTCGATTCTGGGCTCTCCTGGGGCTACCCTGACCTTCCAGAGTGCAACAAATAGCCCTCCAGACCTATGGAGACCTACCTCGAGTGCCTAAAACCTCTGCAGGAGTCTAGATCTCGAGATCCTGGTGCTATTTTGTTGACCCTCCTGGAAGGTCAGCTGGATGACCCTGACCTCGCAGAGTGCTAAGAAGTAGCCCTCCGTGGGCACTGGAATCGACAGGGGCCGTGTTTCACCCGTTCTGTTTTGCTGTTTTTTGGTGTTGGTTCCGACGCCGTTTTTGTTACCAGTTCCGTCGCCGCTTTTTTACGGGTTCCGGCTCCGGTTCCAATTTTGCTGTCGTTTTTTGTCGTTTTTGACCGCCGTTGTCTTGCATCTTCCATTGTCCATACCTTTGTTCGGAAACGGTGGAAAAGCGACCTTGCCGTTTCTGGGGCCCACTAAGCTTCAGACCTACACCTATCTTGATTGCCTAAAGCCTCGACAGGAATTTAGATGTCGAGGTCATGGTGCTATTTTTGTTGAGCCCTCCTGGAAGGTCAGGGTACGCGCTTCGGGGCTCAAGAGACGGAGGTCAATGCAAACGGGGGTCAGTCAGAGCGCCGGATTCTGCAGGATCCTGCAGAACCAGGGGTGCTTTGACCCAGGGTTGGGCGCAGGATCCTGCAGGATATTGCAGGATCTTGCAAGGCCCGACTGACCCAGGTTTGGATTGACCCGGGTCAGTAGGTCCCCGATATTTTGGTAAGCCCAGGGTTCGCTAGGAGCAGGCTTCCCCCCCAAACTATGAAAACCTTTCGAAACCCGCCCGAGACCCTCCGGAAAGCCTCCTGGAGCCGTTCCCTGAGGGTTTTCGGAGGGGGGGAATTCGAAGGGCTTCGGGAGGGTTTCGGCTATTCTGAAAGGAAACCAGTCCCTTGCGAACCCTGGACTTTCTAAGACTACTCGGATCACCGCCGTGCTTGCTGAGGATATACGGTAGGTTCGTGCGACGATGGCGCGCCTGCGACGCCGGCGAAGGCGTTCAAGGTTGAATTCCTGCGACGCGAGAGCACCAAGGGACACGGCGACGCCGTTATACCTCACGGAAGTCAACTTTGAACAATCAGAGCAGCGATCGATTCAAGATTGGACGATCGGCGCGGTGTCAAAAACCTTTGTTCCGCCGACGCCTCACAAACCTACCGTACGGGCTTGCACGTTGATGTTAAGGTGGATTACATTTGGCCTAATTTTGTTTGAAAGTGGGTTAGAAGTGCCCCACGAGGCTAAAGGGGTACAGATCTGGGCTAACTAGGTGCCACACGGTTATCGAACCCATCCAAGCCGCTCGGCGCATCGGTAACCACTGTATGAGCTGGGTTGGGCCAGGTGTAACCCGCCTTGGCATCCACTTAGATACCCCCTAACTATCCACTTGGCAGCCCCCGCGGCCTTGCAAGCTTGGGGGGGGAGCTCGTGGCCGGGGCCGTGGTATCTCCAGAGATCGCACGGCACCCTCTCCTTACTCTGAAGTCGGGCGTGTCCCCCTACAGGGGGGTTTTCAACGAAAAATAGAAATACCCCCAAAATAGACAAACAAACATCCAGAACTAGTCTGGGGACTATGTTTGGACTATTTGTTGATTTTTCTGGGATATGTTCAAGGTATTTTTAATCTTCGTCGAAAATCCCCCTGTAGGGGGACACGCCCGACATACCTTACTCCAACATGTCCCCTGGCCCCCCCCCCTGGGCCGCGCACGTGCCCCGGGCCATGACTTGCGACCCCCCCTCTTGGACGCCCGCCTCTTGGACTCCCCCGCATCTCGGGGTCCATCTTCTTTTAAGTCGAGCATGTGCTTCTACAGGAGGGACACTCACAAACAGGAACAAATAGTCAGGCGACGATCTGTCGGACTATTTTTCTATATTCTTGAGTATTTGCGAGAAGCTCTAATTTGTCGTCCAAGGTCCGCCTGTAGGAGGACATGCCCGACCTGACCACTGTCCATTTCGATCCGATTCGGTTCGGGCGGTTTCGGCGGTTCCTCTCGGTTGTCCTGTCTCGGGATGCGTTCGGGCAGCTGCGCTTCGTCGAGAGCGTTCCGGGGATGCCTGGATCGTCCCGACGGGCCGCTGGAGCCCTGCGCCACTGCCAGAAAGCCGAGGTCAGGGTCCGCTTCGGCCCGATCCATCCGCTTCGATGTCGATTCTGCGCGGTCCGATCCGATTCGATGCCGATGCTCCGGCGATTCGATGAGGCCCGATGCTTGCATGGCGCTGCTGTGCATTCTGGCACAGCCGATCCGATGCACATCTCGATTCGGTCCCATGTCCCGAGTTTGTGCTGATTGACCTTGCCTTTCCAGATCGGACCAAGGACCAAGGGGGGAAGGTCGGACGGGGCTAGAACCAGGACAAATCTTTTCCAGAACGTTCGGGAACGCTCTCAGCGCGTTCCGGAACGCTTCGAGAAGGCCGCGATGCCCGAGGCATCCTCCAGAACCGCCAGAACGCAGAGACTCTCGATTTTGCCCTCACCCGGTGTTGCGTTTCATCGCGATGATTCTCAGTGATCCAGGGCAGGAGCCACGAGTGTCCTTGCCGTCCAGCCCGCGCGTCCCTCCGGATGCATGGCTTGCTTGCGTGCTTGCCTGGCCTCGTCTTGGCAGGGGGGTGCGACGTGCTTCTGCTGCCTGCAGTTTCCCGTGCGGCCCCGCCGCCCAGCGCGAGCCCGTCGGCGCGCGGCCGCGCCCCGGCGGGGCGGCCCGTCAGAGGCCCTCAGAGGTCCGAAGCTGCGGGAGAGAGCTGCGACGCCGCAGGAGCTCTCACGGCCAGAGCCCTCCCAGCCCTCGTCCTTCTGTCAGGATCGTTGAACCGACCCCCGTCCCCATCCCCATCCCCTTCGAGACCCCCACCAAATTACCCGCCCAGTTGGGGATACACCCCTCGAAACCCGAAGGAGGAAACGGCCTGTATCCCCATCTAGGAGGGTAAATCGGCCAGTGGGGCTCAGGCCACGCCGCTCGGGATAGGGATCGGATAAGTGATGCTCATTCTGCAGCATGTCTCGAAGAAGACAAAAACGGCATAAGCGTAAATTTTTGGCGCTCCGCGCGAAGTTCTTGGATCTGCGCTGGGCCCCCGTGGCGGCGCCTCCGGCGCCGCCCCTGGCGCGGTCCGCGCGCCAGAGAGGGGGGTCCAGCGCAGAGCGCCAAAATTTTATATTTGTACAGTTTTTGTCTTGCTCTTATCTATCATGTTTCCAGCTAGATGGATGCGACGAAAGAACAGCACGCACCCATACCCATAGGGGGTTCGGAGGGAGGAGGACCGGCTAATCATGGGTATGGGTGCGGGCTGTGGGACCGCGGGGAGGCTCCCACTCGAGCGGGGACCATCCGACAACCCTGACCTACCAGAGTGCTAGAAAATAGCTATCTGGGCTGCCTAAAACCTCGACAGGAATTAAGATATCGAGGTCCTGGTGCTATGTTTCTGCCCTCCTGGAAGGTCGGAGAACACGCACCCCCAGAGCCCCCTTCCGTCCCCCCCTAGCTATATAGGGGTGCAGCTTCGTTCGCTCGCCCGCGCTCTGTGAGGGCCCCCGGGGGCCCCCGGACGCGGGCGCAGACGCCCGGGGCGACAGCAGTGCCCCGCCACAGCTCTGCGGTTAGGTCGCGCCTGTCCCCCTACAGGGAGATTTCGGGCGGAAAACTCAACATATCTAGAACAGATTCCCAAAGTGCTCAACAATAATCAACAAATGGTCCCCTGACTAGTTGTTCGCTGCTTCTGTTATATTCCTCCTGCAGGGGGACAGGCCCGACTTCACTCCGCGGGCAGAGAGCTCTGCGCCCTCGCAGCCGGGTGCGCCGGCGTTCTCCGAGGGGCTCGCGCAGGGCGCCTCCGCGCCGCGGCGGGGCGCGGCCCGGCACAGCGGCCAAGGGCCGCCTGGGCAGCCCTTCCCCCCCCGTTAAGGAGGAGCGGTCGGCCGGGCGAGGCCGCGAGCACGGGGCGTGCACGCGCACGAGAGGGGCCCTTCGACGGAGCGGCCTGTGGTGCGGGCCCCTCTGGCAGGGGCTCGTGTCCCCTCCCCGAGCAGCATTTTGCTTCGATCGGTACTTCGCCACCAGTTTCAAAGAAGGCGCTCCTCTGCAATTACGTCGGCTTCGGCACCGCCTGATTCCGAGGCTTTGCCTCCTCCCGGCCTCGTTATTAGGCTGCGCCCCCCTTTTCCTCCCCCATCTTTGCCTAATTCAAGCTTCGCGCGGCCCGCTTAGCTTCGACCAGAAGAGATGCGCTCACGACCCGCGGATCAAAAAAAAGGTGTCCCCTCCTCGGGCACGGCTCGATCGGATGTCCACCGAGGCCGAGGTGCGGTTCCTCTCCGGAGTCCGATCTCAAGCAGTGGCGGAGCGTCCTGGCTCGCCTGTGGTCCTACGGGACGATGTTCCAAGAGCCTTTTGTGGTTTGCACGGGATGTTCTTAGAAAGTTGTTGGTTTATATTGTTTTGTTTTATTACATCGGTATTACGTTCTAAGAACATAGTTCTTGTTCTTAGAACATTTTTGAGATTCTACGAACATTTCGTGGTAGGCCGGTCCGATACATTTCGATCGCCGATTCGACCTATCGATTCGATTTTGGGCTCGCCCTCCAGGGTCCCCCAGATCAGCGAATGCGATGCGAGAGCAGCGGCTTGCGCGCTTGGGTTTGACCCCCCCTCGGCACCCGAAAGGCCTCGCACCCAGGGGCGTTCTTGCCCAGGGTCACTCTTTGCGTGAACCCGACGAAGGAGCCCCCTCGCGGGGGGCGACGGGGCGACCGACGATCGAGGATGACGACGGCGTCGATTTCGGCCACGGCAGGTCCGTGCTGCACGATCTGCGCCATCGCGAAGCCGCGATCGCTCAAGGTGGAGTGCTCCACGCGGTGTCGGGAACCAACGCCGAGGTCGTCACGCCGCGAACCTTCGGAGAGGATCGAGGCTTTCGACGTGTGTTGGACATTGTTGGCCCCTCTCGGGCCTACTGAGGCCCACGGACATTGTTGGCCCCTCTCGGGCCTACTGAGGCCCACGGAGGCCTGGTCTGGAGGCCTCCAGAGACCTCCGGTCGTCGTCTTCGCTGTCATCGTCGTCGTCGCTGTCGTCGTCGCTGTCGTCGTCGTCGTCGTCGTCGTCGTCGTCGTCGTCGTCGTCGTCGCAGTCGTGTTGGGAGCGCCTCACGGCGCACCCGATCCCAGCCAGTCCAGTTCGATTCTGAACTCCGACGACCCAGTGTTTGCCGATGCCGGTGTGGCGCCGTGTTGCATCTCGGCGCAGCCGATCCCCATGCAGTCCGATTCGGCTGCGACGCCGCGCAGGTGCGGCCCGAGCCGACGCACCTTCCGAGCCGGCCCGCTCTCCCAAGAGAGCCGATGCCGAGTGATCCCGCCCCGATCACGGGGGCCCCTCGTGTCAGGAGGGGGAAAACACACAGACACAATGAATCGTCGATTCCCAATAGAGTATGGGGAAAGATATGGGCATTGGGTGGGGAGACAAAAACCGAGAAAATATGGGAAAATATGGGGAATCGTTTTATTTGTGTGCATTTATGATGTGTGTGTGTGTGTGTGTGTGTGTGTCCCAGGGCCCCTTCATCGTGGGCGGACAGCGCAAGCGGCCGCACCCGCGGCCTCGCGGGCCGGTGCGCCCGGGGCCGCGGCGCCACGGGCGCGGGGCGCTCTCTTTTTTCTCTTTGCCGCGGAGGGGCCCCCAAGGCGGAGCGCGGCCGCGCGACCCCCGCGCATGCCCCCGGAGAAGTCGCGCGCCCGAGGGCTCCTCCTCCTCCTCCTCCTCCTCAGGCTGCGAGTGCCTGGACGTGGGGTGCGCTCGCAGCTCGGGGGGGGCGCCCCGCGGCGCGGCGGGAGCTGGGCGGGGCGGGCCCCGCCCCGCGGAGCCCCCCCCCGCCGCCGCAGGAGGACGCCGAGGCCGCCGAGGAGAGGCGCGGCGGGAGCCTCGCCGCGCGCCCGCCCGGCAGGGGAGCGAGTCGGCGGAGTGCCCAGGGGGGGGAGGCCGCGGGGGCGGGCTTCCGCAGGAAGGCTCCGGGAGGCCGCGGACCCTCTGAGGAGTCTTCTGGGCTGCCTCTGCGAAGGCAGAGACGGCCGGACGGCTTCTCAGAGGGCCCGAGGGCTTCAGGCAGCCACATGACGTCTCAGACCGCGATGCGTTTCTTTTGCCGCTACACTTTCTCGCGATCGTTGCGATTGGACTCTTCTCGCCGTTGCGAACGAGCTTCTGCAGGCACCACACACTTGCGCGAGGTCAAGGCCGCGCGACGGGGTAGAGTCGGTGCGCCGTGATAAACATCTGGATTGAGGCCCTCGGTGGCTGGTCGAGGGTTTCGGACCCCGACGCCCGAGGCACTGAATATCATTCAAGCCAGATAATTATTCCCATGTGTGCACCTCATTTCCTGGCACTTCTCGCCGTGAACGTCTGGATGATGGAGTCTTGGCTATTGGCGACTGGGCGCTTCCTGGTGGTTCTCCCTCGGAGTGCCCACATGCTATTCTTGCTCGATCGGGATGGTCTTGGGACTCTGAACGGGGAGTCAGTCGAGAATGCCCAAACCAGCGTTTCGCTTGAGACGTCCCCGCGATCTGGCCGCGAACGGCTAAGTGTAACACCCTCTGGTTGCTCATTTTGTGGTGCCCAATTGCTATTCCTGCTGCATCGCAGTGATCGTGGAGCCCTGATCGGAGAGGAGTCGAGTGTGTCAAAACCCACATTTCGCTGAAGACATCCTCACTCAATGGCCGCGAACTGGCAAGGTCAACCCCCCCTGGCGGCTCCTCCTTGGGGTGCCCAAGGTGATGCCTTTATTATGGAGGTGATAATGAGGCCCTCAAGAGACAGGTGTCGCGGACTCCAAACGTGCGCCTCGTTCGAGACATCCCCGCAATATGGGCGCGAACGAGGACATGTCCTACCCTCTGGCAGCCCCTCCTTGGGGTGGTCAACTTGCTTATGCCTGCAATGCCGAGATGGTCATGAGGTTCTCGACAAACAGGAGACGGTGACTCCATGCAAGCGCCTCGCTCGAGAACAGTCCCCACAGTTTGAGCGCGAACCGGCCAGTGATATACCCTTTGGGTGTACAAGTTTGCTCGTCTGCGATATCGAGGTTATCATGTGCGATTCTGAGTATGAGGAGTGGATCTGAGCGGGTTTGACCATGAGTGGCAGAGTGTGGTAAGTCTGCATGTGAGTCTGAATATGGGTGAGGCTGAGCGTGTCTGATCAGAGTGTGAGTGGTCTGTGTGTTCGAGTCTAGGTGCGACTAAGCTGGCTGTGAGTGGGCTGGGCATGAGCGAGTTTGAGTATGTAGGGGTCTCAGTGTCAGTTGATCTGAGAATGTGTGAGTGCTCTGAGTATGGGTAGTCTGAGTGTTAGTGAGCCTGACTGGAACTGAGTCTGAGCACGAGTGAGGCGGCGGGAGCGAGGAAGGATGGATGTGGAGGCACCATGCTCATAACAATAACCCCAACTCCGTGAACACCGCGAAACTATGCGGACATTTCTCTCCAGTTTCGGTCTCTGCGGGCCCTCGCCAGGCCCCAGCATTGGTCAACCAAAGCGCATAATGAACAATTTGCCTTGGAAAAGGGGTTGGACTCCTCGGGGGGCTCGCATGCCAAAGAAAGCACGGATCTCAGGATCTAGTGGCCCGCGGCACATTCAGCCACCATGCTTGGTTTCTCGGTCAGAGGCCTCTTGGATGTTTGTGGGGATTTCTTGGGAGGCCTTCCGGGAGCCTCTTGGAGCCGGTTGGGGGGCCTCTCGTGAGGCCTTTTCGGAGCCTCTTGGGCCTGACGTTGGGCCTCTTGGGAGGCCTCTTGGAGCTTCCAGGGGGCTTCTAGAGATCTTGCTTGCCCTCTGGGGTCGTCTTGGGGGCCTCCTGGCCCGTCTTGGGGCTCTTAGGGGCCGTCTGGGGAAATTCTTGGAGGCCTCTTGGGCTGTGTCGGCGCGATCTTTGGGGCCTCGTGGATTGTTTTGGAGCGTCGACAGCCTCAGAACCTGGGACCCACGCATATGTACATATATCTATATATATATATATCACCAGCGCGGGCTGGTTTTCTGTCACGGGGGTTGATCGGATTATTGTTTCGGCGGTGGGTTGCAGAGTGCGTCAAATCTCGCGGTAATGTCATGTCGCGTGTGTTGCGTTTTGTGGGCGCGCGGCTGCATGCGCAAAAAACAACACTTTCACGTGGTGTATATTTCGGCGTGGTGCATACACATCCCGTGTGCACCACGACCGAATGCGGCCGCCTTCTGCGCGCATGACCACGTGGCATGTACTTGCGCCTAGCGGGGGCAGGCAGTGGCACCCCTGTCAGGGCGGTCGCTCGCAGGATTTTGTCCCTTCCGATGGCGGCCTGGCGGTGGTGCATGTATCGGGGCCCCGTACAGAAGGCGAGACCGGTCAGGTCTGTCAAACACTTACGGGGAATGAATGATTCTGGCCCCGTGGGGCTTTCTTGGGGGACTCCGTGGAGGGCGTCTCCGGGGCCTCTTGGGCCGTCTGCAGGCCATGTTGGGCGTCTTGAAGCGATCGTTCGGGGACTCGGGGCTCTCTTGGGCCGTGCCTGAAGCCTCTTTGGGCCCTCTTGGCCTGACTTGGGTGGGGCCCGCTTGTTTTCGAAACAATGATGCGACCACGCGTGATAGGCCCCGAGAGGCACGCGATGCACCTCCGGCAGATCCGGGAATTTTAGGGCCGGCCCCTCTAATGTTCATTCGCTCAG